CCCCCCCCCCCCCTCCACGATTTTCAGTTAATGCGCCGCCACTGGTCACACCGCATCACATGCATGATTGAAGAAATAAATGCATGATAGTAAATCAGAAATAGAAATTTTAAAACGCCGCATTGAGATGAGTGCTTTTATAATTCCACAACCACCGCAATATCTATCGTGCTGGCGAGTCCGGCACGCAGCTGTGAAAATATTCAAAACACTGACAAGTTTCGATAGTGTGATGCTTCCTTCCCCTCGGCTTTGATTATCTTATCTCATGTACCGCCATGCGCTACAATCTACCGGTTCCACAGTTTGTTGCCGTGCCTAGATCCTGGAAGAGTAAAAAGTTGATTAGGTGCATACATGGGCTCGACTTGAAAGCTTATTGTAACTGTGTGCGTGCCTACACATACTACTACCGACCTATGACGTAAGCTGGGGACAGGTGTCACCAGATTGTTACGGGAATTAAAGCTCCGTTAAGGCCTGGTTAAGACGATTAAAAAAAACCTGGTACGTTCTCATTTAGCAACGTTGGGCGGTACTCTTCAGTCGTGTGATTCAAAAATGAGAAATTCAAAATGGTGCTTGAATACACATGACGTAGGCTGGTACCACCGATTGGCTGTTGTATATTTGCTCCGAGATCATTTGAATAAGCATGTGTACTTTTCTCATTACGACATGGTAGTGTCACGCTGTGCGTCACTTTTGAAAGCGTCCTCGCTTGTTTAGTAAACTTTACGATGTGGTTAGGGATACTTCGTACATTAATATGTGTTTTGTGAAAATCTCTGAATCTTCCATGACATAACTTCTACCATAGCCTCAGAAGATTACGGAAAATCGGGTAAGTAGGTACACATACTTCATGATGTTTTCTAATTCAGAATCTCTGTTCAGCATGTAAGTACATAGGCCTTGGTTCTCAGTGTGACCGGTGATAAGTTGGCGAACTGTGATACTTGTGAACCAGGACCAGATCTGGGATTTTTGGGTCCTTGTAACTGTAGCTTGAGGTGCGGCCCCCCTAAAGTGCCCCCCCCCCCCACCCGGAGAAGAGGGATTAGTGGATAACTTACCCTGTGGAAGGAAGAACTGGGGGCCTCCCTCGATAACATTTGAAATAATTACTCCTCTTAAACGCAATTTAAGACATTTTTTGTAAGCAATGTGATGAGGGAAACGACGGAGAGAGTCTATCGTATCTATCATATCTATACGTAACTGCAGCACATAAAAAACAAGAACCTTTATCTAAAAAAAAAACTAAGTAAAAAGTTTATGTCGAGGCAGGCCCGCCACATCCTATCTCGGACCCTAATACCAGTTTTAAGGCCCGGGCCCCCAGCACAGAGGGGGTCCGGGGGCTTCCCCCGGGAAATTTTTAAATTTTAAATCTACTTGGACGCACTTTGAAGCTCCCATGACGGTGATTTTCCATCAGTTTCTGCAGAATAATTACGCCCCTTTTTTTTTACTTTTAGCACAAAATACTTTCGGATTGTTACATTCAAAGCATCTAGAAATTTTTTTCGAGGGGGGGGCAGATGATGCTATTTTCAATTCTAGGGGGGTCCAAGCCTCCGTGGACTCCCCTTTCGTACGTCTATGGCAAGTAAATTAGGCCAGTAAAGTCGAGGATGCCCAGACTGGAGACTCCTAGCATCCGACAAAGGAAGAAAATGAAACGCAGTGACTAAAAATATCAATTTATGCTAAAAATCTTGAAAACAGATAGAAATCTTTAAGGAAGTAAGAAAAATTCTAGTGCCCTAGCATGTTTTTGAAAATTTATTCACCTATTGCGAAATTTTTAGGGTAAATTTTTCACTTTTCCTTACGAGACAAGGGTTACATGTGAATTCGTAGTGGTTTTTCACCAGTGCCACGGGCTCTGGAACCAGGGACCCAGTATCCCCCCCCCCTTGTGGTGGGTCTGTGTCGGGGCGAACAATTTTTTAGTACGGTCTCCCGGTCTCCCATGTGATGCGGACCCCAAGCGCGCGTCTAGTGCACCTATATGGTAAATCTGGCTCGCATTGTCAAAGTTGAACGGATTCCATCAAAATCAACCCAGCATCATTTCTTGTTGCCTAACTTCTTGTGACGGAAATCGAAACAGCACTATCCCTTGAAACTTCTCGTGAATTTTCCTTCACTTATACTATGAATGTACTCACAAAATTTCAAATCAGAATGTTTCTTGAAGTTTTCTTGTGAAAAAATAAGGTGCGAGGAAAGTAGACGGCACTTAATGTAAGGCTGATTGTTGCAGTAGGCTAGTTCATTGGCGATTCTTGGAAGTTGGCAACACTGTTCTTTAAAAAAATTGACATCATCATTGACAATGACAATACCGTTTTTCCCCGACTCAACAGTATGTAGAACAATCGAATCTTGGTGAGGCAGCTTGCCTCACCTAAAATGTACATTTTTGATGGATTTAAAGGAAGGAAAAACAGTGTTGTCAACTTTCAAGAATCGCCAAGATTCCAACGATTCCAAGATTTCTACGTCAAGTTAATGTATTGGTGCTGACAAACGACGCTCGCAACTATTTGAACTCTGAGGGCCATGCCATAAAGCTCTGCACATGTTGTCCCTGTTAGGTTTGTAGGCGCCAGTGCGTCGCCGCGCAATGCGTAAAATATCCCTGTTAGGTTTGTAGGCACCAGTGCGTCGCCGCGCAATGCGTGAAGTATCCCTGTTAGGTTTGTAGGCGCCAGTGCGTCGCCGCGCAATGCGTGAAGTATCCCTGTTAGGTTTGTAGGCGCCAATGCTTCGCCGCTCCGCTTTGTATTAGGCTCTCATGCCCGACTGTATACTTTTTTATAGCTTCGGATAGCCCGGCTATATGATTTGCTCCGCTTTCTACAGCCAGCTATATGATTTTCAATAGCCTTCTTTAGTCGGCTATAAGAACTCCTATGGTATTTTGAAACGTAGCTCGTATCGCCAATTTTTACCAGGGAAGAGCAGTTTAACTTGCACAATTAGTTCTGTCGGGTGCCTCTTTTTAGGGACGCGACGAGCGCTGATCGCCGCGCCGAGTAGCGCCAGTTATTGAACTCCCTGAGAGTAGATTATTGAATCGGTGTCAAAGTGACCTTGATCAATGAATGACATCTCTAAAATGGAAGTATACATTAATAAAGGTCAATCGATAGATAGATTTAGTTGGATAGGGAACTGCACTCAAGATTTTTTTAATTTTTATTTTCTCGGTGATATAAAGAAAAATTTTGATTTGCTCGGTGATTTAATGAAACATTTTACATCGATTTTCTCGGTGATTTGACGAAAATTAGCTACATTTTTGAGGTAAAACATGCACCCGTAATACATTGAGAAGCGAGTTGAGAGGTGAAATGTGCATTGTTTCAATGTAACTGAGCACCTCTACGACTCGACTCCTTGAATATAAGGTGGTTGTATTATATTGCGGGTTTTTAAATTCCTTATTTAATAGTTAATATAACTGGAGTGAATATTGCGAAAATCATGTATGTTACAGGTAAACGGTGTCCAACAATTCGTTCCTTGGGGCTGAATTAGATGGTCATCAAACGGGAGCTCCGGATCTGTCTAAACGTCTTCGTTGGCAGCCTTATTACTATGACGCAGTCAGCTTCGTTCCAAAATCCGTGGTAAAGGTCTACGAAAAATGTTAAATGTAAATAAATCTAAAATCCGTCTGATTCTTCTTCTTCTGTCGCTTTTCTTTATCTCATCTTTCTTTTTCCTTTCTAATCTTCTCCATTTCTCTTTTTTCCTCCCTCCTCCTCATTTTTCTTCTACTTCTACTTTACTTCTTCATTCTCGTTTATTTTTATTCTGTTTTTCTCATTCTTCTTCCTTGCCTTTTCTTCTTCTTTTTCCTCTTGTCTTCATCCTTATTCTCTCTTCCTTTTATTTCTCTGCTCTTCTTCCTTTTCTTTTTTCTTTTTTCTTCATCATTATTCTCTTTTCCTTTTCTCTCTCTCTCTCTCTCTCCCCCTCTCTCCCCCTCCCTCTCTGTTCTTTTTCTTCGTGCCTTTTTCTTCTTTCTCTCTTTTTACTCCCTTTTCTTTCCTTCTTTCCTTCCTTCTTTCTTTCTTTCTTTCTCATTCTTCTTCTTTTCTTCATCTCGTACCTCTTTTCTCTGTTTCTCTTTTGCCCGATTCCTCTTTTTTCTTCTTCCTTATTTATTTTCTTCTTCTCTTTTCTTCAATTCATTTCCTTATCATTTTGATTGTTCCCCTTTTTCCTCTTGACATCATCCTCTGTTTAATGTTGTCGTGTTTACAACTAGCCGACAGAGACTGTCCGACTATTATACATGGAGGATGATACCACTATTCGACCGCGTGGGAGCTCGGGTTGCCTATACTAAAAATTGAAGGCAAACTGATACGGCGTCACAGTAACCTCTTCTATCCGATTAGTTAGAATTAGAGAGCTATTTTTTTAGTGTGTTCTATATTCGACCGTTTGATAGCTCATATTGTCTTTACGCAAATTGAGGGCAACCTGACATGGCGTTAATGTAATCATTCTCTGTTTTTTGAAAAGCTTCCTTTACATGCATGTACGTAGAGTGATCCAAGGTTAAACCGTCAGACTGCGGCGGGAGCGCGCGTGTTCCATTGGTCAACTTTAACTCAGTTTTTAATCATTTAATGTTACAAATTTAATATGATTCAAACATTTCAAATATGGGGGTGGGGGGTGCCAGTTGCTCTTCCTAGAATGTTAAAAATCCCTTTCCAGAATTCCCGAGAGTTTGCGCAATAACTTCGTGGAATTATACCATCTCTGAAATTTCATTCCAATACAGTTTTCGATAAGAACACCTCAAATTCACCTCTGGGACGATCCAATTTTCATAATAGTTCCGTCAATGACCCTCCCCCCTCCTCTCCCTTGAAGTCGGGAGGAAGTTAGGTACTCAAACGCTCATACCATGATAGGATGCATTTTTGGAGCCTTCCGGATCATCCTCAATAAGGTGCCCCTTCGATAAAAAAAATTCCTGGTCCCGCTCATACTAAAACGGTTTTTTCCTGTGCATTGTGTTAACCGAGCGGTGAAATAAGTGGCGTAATTTGAGGCACAGCACCGGTATTCTTTCAGATGAAATGCAGAGCGAATACAAATGAATATTAATGAAGGTAAAAACTCTCCGTTTCAACATATTTGAAAAATACACGGACACGGACGCGACGTGCGCGAAATCGTTATTCAGTGTGTCTCAAGAAGTTTTGACCTGGAGTTTCATTTTTACCTAAAAGTTCTTTCTTTATTTTATTCATTATTTATTTACCTATTTTTATTTATTTTTTTATTACTTATTACATTTTTAATTTGTTCGGGTAAAACGTATGATGAGCTATATTTCGCGATTTTAAATATTAGTCTGAAAAACGAGGTAGATTTTAGGAATGTTTACGGACTCGAGGAGCATTGGCCGCTAAATTTGATTTTTTAACAGTGAATTTTTTTTATAACAGTTATAACGCTCGTTGAAAGTTTTACTTATAAAGTAAATTTAACTTAAAAAAACCCAAAGAGGGTTTCATTCGTCGTGAATTTTAAACGTTTTTTGAAAAGTTACATACATGTTCGTCGCTCTTATAGCGCACTCTGGTGCTCTGCGACACTTGATCGCTGTATGTGCCTATCTCTCCGAAGGGTTATGAGGCAACTTAGAACGTGATATCACCTGGTCGACGGCCTGCCGCCATCCATTTATGGGATATCCTTGTCGCTTTCTTCCGGGAGGTACCCAACCCGAAACTTTTTTGGGAAACCTCTCCTCCGACATTCTTGGCGTAAGTATATACAACATTGATTGCCTGCATGTCGATTGTTGAATCGTTATCGAATGAACTCGATCGATAAATCCCTATTTTGGCAATGCATTTTATCGATCGAGGTCATTCGATAACGATTTAACAATCGAATGAACTCAATCGATAAATCCCTATCTTGGCAATGCTTTTTATCGATCGAGGTCATTCGATAACGATTCAACAATCGACCCGCTGGACATGACGTTGTCGTGCACGTTACTTTTAACCTTCATCACCCGGCAAATTTTTTCATTACAGACGAAGTCCCGTCTCCAAATGCCGACATGTCACCATCAAAAAACCATTTTAGTTGCCCTCAACATATCGCCACGTATTCCTGCCAAAGTAGGTATCACAAGCGCCATTTTCACCTAAATTGAGTCATGAATAGTTTCGAAAAGACGAGATGCATTCACAGACAAAAATAATAATTTTTTTAGAACAAAAATGTAGAAGTATGAATAAAAATCGATTAAAGTTGATGTACTTTTGTATCACAAGCGCCGCGCCATTCGGGAGAGAAGTATCACAAGTGCCGAGTTCAGCAACTACCCACGGAGGGGTGCATAAGACGCGTTTACTCGTGTTGGGCATACATTTTTTGTTAAAGCCCTGTCAACACTTCTAGCAAAAATTCACGGAACTTTGCGCGAAAGTTAAGTGCCGTAAACCTATCTTTGTGTGGACAAGGCCTTCCATTTATGAGAAATGAACGAAAAAATTATGAAAGAACAAACATAAATGCTGTTTAATAATTTTAACCTTCTATGGCATGGATTAATATTGGATCTTAGATTCTAGGGGACTCTTATCTATTTTATAGCTTGCATGAAAACAATTGAGTACCGCATTTTTTTTCAAAGTTTAAAGTTAAAGGGAATCACTTTTTCAAAAAGAGGAAAAACTAATGAAATTTTGCAAAATCAAGGCACAGAGGAAAGATTCAATTTTTAAAACCCCGAAAATATGTTGTTACGAATTCGTAACGCTATGCTGTAGATGCGGTTGACTTCCGCCGCCGCGCTGACCGCATGAAGTATTTCTTCACTCTAGTAGGCGCTGTGCGTTTCACGCCAACCGCTGCTGAACGCACTGTGTTTGACGCAATGCGTGAAGTATTTATGCAGTCTTGTAGGCGCTATGCGTTTCACGCTGACCGCACTGCGTTTGATGCGATGCGTGAAGTATTTATGCAGTCTTGTAGGCGCTAATATGTGTTACATGCCGACCGCCGCGCCGCGAGGGCTTCTCCTTTTCATCTCAAGTCCAGTCATTATTGCTCTCTAGCTGCGCCGCGCCGCTCCAGGCGTAATTGCGTGTTTGGTTTCTATCTTAACTCGACTAATTAAAGGTGCTGTCTCTTGCATCACCGAAAGACGGCAAAATTAGAAATTACTGTACTCTCCGGGAATAAGAGGTTTTGTCGCCTTTTCTCGTTTGTAATTTTTTTTCTGAATCCGATTTTTTTATACCTACATTTAAAAAAATTGCAAGATTTGCCACCCCCTAAATTTGCCACCATGGGCCGCGCCCCTGGTGCCCCCCCCTAAATCCGGCCCTGTCTCGATGGCTTGAAAAGTTAACTGTTTTAAAATTTGCAAACGTTTAAAAAGTTTTTACATCTGCCGTTGCAACTGGGATGCCCCTTCCTTGAAAGGTTGAAAATTTTTGGAATGTCCTCATAGGGCTTTTGGTGTATTACATGAAATGGAGTTCTTGTGTACCTAATACGGGAATTTGCGATTTGTAAGTACCCTAGGCAATGTAAAATTTCGCGAAAAACACGTAAGATGGGGTCACTGGTTTTCTCTGAAACAAATTCCCAATCTCAAAGAAAGTTCTTAAAATTGAGCCGTACTGGAGATCGCCTACGTTGTGATGAGAGTCCTTCAAAATTCAGTTTAAATATCTCCATGCTCAATGGATTCTCTCACCTTAGGGGATCCTCTCTATCACGGCCTCAACTTTGAGAGGTTTTTTTAGAGCTTGCTTTGAGAGCATTGACTATTAAATTTGAAGTTTAAAAAGTATAATTTTTTTTTTAAAATTATGTACGAATTGGGAAACCTGCTTTTTTGTTCTTGTTTGAGCAAAATGTGAGTGAAATTTACGTTTAAAAAATGTTATGACAAAAAATGTTGCTAAATTTTTTTCAATATTTCGGTAAATTCTGAAAATCACTCATACCTATTAATGGTAAAAACTAAGTAGATAAACAACAAAACATTTGACATTAAAAACTGAGCAAGTGCACTTTATGAAAAATGCATATTTACGTAAAATTGTTGTTATTCATAAAATGACGAATAACTGGTGCAAGAAGTCATCGTAACAAAAAGAGAGAAAAAAAGAAGAAAAACACCCAGAAATTCTGCATTTTCACAGCTTCTTTCCGGGAATTTACTCTTCGCGACTAGGGTGAGTTTCTTTCAGAGAAAAATAGTGGCACTATAATAGAATTGGTAGAGGTTGAAATACTTAAACCCGCAAATCCCCGGGGCATACAAAGAGCCCCATTCTAAGCAGGGCGTCTTGGATTTTGTGTTCCAGGCAAATGTCATTGCAGAAGACCCGTCATAAGCTGCGGAAGTGGAGGCGCATTTGGGCTTTGCTGCTAACGGGGGCGGTGGTGGTGAGCCTTTGGCTGATTTTTCGGCGACGGCGGCCCCCGGGGGACGTGCTGGAGCGGCTTCGGTTCCTTCCGAATCCCTTCGCCGCGTCCGGTCTCACAAATGAAACTGGTGCCCCCACGCCAATCGTTCCCAACTTGGTCCATTTCATCGTCTTCCAGAAGCCCACGGTCAGCTTCATCCACTTTGTATGCGTTCTTGCCGCCCTTCGCAATCAACGTCCCGACAAAATTTATTTCCACTCAAACGTCCAACTATCAGGTAAGGAGCCGATCAAGTACATATTAGGAGGGGCGTTTTGGCCCATATAGAAGAATAAAGGAAGTGGTCGCATCTTGAGGATTGTTCACCCCGTGACGTAGGTCGATACAATGGCGTCGACATTTCAGCAAAATCCAAAATGTGATTTTTTTTTCATAAACGACAACATTTCCGAGAGAATCGATGATCAAAACCATCCGTAACGATCTACGTCATCGACTGAATCCAAGATTCCCAAAATGCGACCATCTCCTTTTTTTCACTATGATTTTGGCTGACTTTCTGTACCCCCTCTTCTCCCTAGTTCTTGCTCCGTGAGACAAACTTCCCACTCCGTTAGAGCACGTGAGACTGGCCTGACACCCCCCCCCCCCCCCCCNGAGAAAATAACGGAGAAAGTAGGGAGAATTATTTTTATTTAAAAATATAATTTTCGGGAGGCTCACGTGAGACTTGACACCCCCTCCCCCCTCCTCCCGAAAGAACGCTTAAGACGAGTTCAGACCCCCTATAATAATTTACGTAATTCTGTAACGGCCTTTTCAAGTATTACGTAAGCTACTCAAGGGAGGGGAGTGGTGATCTGAGCATCCCCTAACACGATCTTGANGGGGGGGGGGGGGGGGGGTCGAGCCTCACGTCTTTCAACGGAAAAAAAACGTTAACTTTTTTTTCTCAATAGCTGTTAAAAATTCCTTGTTAAATTTTGTTTTGCTATTTGTTTTTGTGCGTGACAAACCGGTTGAGTCAATCAATGGATATGAGGTAAAAGTCAGACTGCTTTCAGGGATGTAGTTGGTGTTCAACACATTATTTGCCTGGAAGATCTCCAAGAAACACAGGCTGCTATACATTCCACGGTAAAATTATTGCTGAGGTATCGGTTGTGTTTGTTGTCTATCCACTATTTGCAGGGGCTTCTCCTCATATTAAAATCTATTTCAATAAAATTGAAACAAGCTGCAATTTATTTTGCGTCGCAAACAGCTTGCTTGCCGCTTTTACACAAAACTCATTTGGCTGGTCGTTTAAAATCGATTTATTGATCAGATTATGTACAAAAATTGCAATTCGATTGTAGTAAATTGCAAAATTATTTCAATTTATGCGTTGCACTGTGCTACTTGGTTAAGAGTCAGTATACCATACCTACTGAAAACGTCTATGTTCCAATTTTCGCAGGCCCGTATTGGGAACGGTTGCTGAAGCTGAAAGAGTTTTCAGAGCGGGTAGTCTTGCGTCAGATAGAAATGCCTAAAGAGATATTCAACCAGACGATCAGAGAGGACTACCGCATTTTTCATGGTGGCGATATAGCTCGAATTCAAGTACTCATGCAGTTCGGCGGAATTTTCCTCGACAACGATTCCTACGTTGTTAAAAGTCTTGACTTCTTCCGCCACTTCGAGATGGCTATTGGCTGGGACGAGGAACAATTTTTGGGTGAGATGAGCACACAAACCCTACCTCCTCATTTTTCACGAGCGACCGCCTCCGTAATAACACGCCAAGAAACAAGTCTGATTTTAAAAACATTCCATACCCAAGTAACAGTGATCGCGATAAATAGCGATTTTATCGGTTGATTATCGCGATTATATCGGTGGCAATTTATCGCGATATTATCGAATGAAAAATTGCGATTTATGGCGATTAAATCGCTATGCATCGCAATTTTTTGTTAAATAAAATCGCGATCAATTTTCGTCGATAAAATCGAGATCAAATCGCCACATATCGCGATTTTTGTTTCGATAATATCGCGATAATTTGCCGGGCAATAAAATCGCGATTATATTGCAACAAGATCGAGGATGATCGCTCAGATGTTGATGATCCTAGCGATTTTATCGCCGATGAAATTGCAATATATTGCGATTATTCCGTTGAAAACTGCCACTTGGGTATTAAATCATCTGGAACAAAATTCTCAGGAAGTAAGAGAAGTACGCTCCTGAGCAATTTTAGATACCATGAACTTAGAAATAGAGACATAAACTTAAAAACGAAGGAAAAAATTGAGTGCCGGAGATTTTTTTTTTTTACAACTGCCCCTAGAAATCCCAAATTGGGCCCAATTGACTTGACGATCACGGTTATAGAAGGCCTACTGATTGAGGAACAACAAACCGCGAAATCTGTGATGGGGCCGTTTTTGAGAAAATGCGATTTTTCGCTTTTTTGGCGGGAATTTCGGGTCAAGGCGCTGAAAAAGTCAAGTTAGGCTGTTTTTGTAGTTCGTAAATGCATATCCTATACATTTTGAGTCAATCAAGTGCCAGTAGATAGCTATTCGTGCATTTTGCCCAAGGCAAGTGAGGTATCATTTCTTATGTAATTTTGGTCGTAGATTTCATTTATGAAGTCATAAAAGCCCTCAAGTCAAAGGGATTGCTCCAAATGCAAAGATGGCGGCCAGCTTTGAAAGGCAGGAGGGTGAATTTTTGAAATGTTTACGTGACATCCCTAGTAAAATAGAATCAACCTGACGTCAGGGTATGTTTCATAAACTACCCTGAGTCAGATTGATTTCAGCCTGAATTAGTCTGACTCAGGGTAGTTTATGAAACGTCAGGTTGATTCTATTTTACTAGGGATGTCACGTAAACATTTCAAAAATTCACCCTCCTGCAGCCTTTCAAAGCTGGCCGCCATCTTTGCATTTGGAGCAATCCCTTTGACTTGAGGGCTTTTATGACTTCATAAATGAAATCTACGACCAAAATTACATAAGAAATGATACCTCACTTGCCTTATCACACGAACTTTTTAAAAATCCACCCTCTTGACTTTCAAAATTGGCTGACATCTTGGATTTGGGGTACCCCCTTTTGATCAAGGGACTTTTTTTACTTCATATTTGAAATCTACGACCAATATTACATAGGAATTGACACCTCACATAACACTGTATGCGTATTTTTAAAAAAATCGAACTCCCAGAGGCCTTATTATGGCCGCCATTTTGAAATTTAGGCAATTTGGGGGGGGGGTGTTCCGGGAGCGAACCGTGGTAAACTTTTGGCATGTTGTTCAATAGGACCCACTGAAGAAGTTTACGTAGAAAAAGTTTGTTAAGCAATTTGTTCCGGGTTAACCCTCTTTTTTTCGGATTTCTCCTTGACTAACCCCCCAAAAACCCAAAAGTCGTGGATTTAAGGATATGAATTTTGGGCAATATGCACGAATAGCTATCTACTGGCACTTGATTGACTCAAAATGTATAGGATATGCATTTACGAACTACAAAAACAGCCTAACTTGACTTTTTCAGCGCCTTGACCCGAAATTCCCGCCAAAAAAGCGAAAAATCGCATTTTCTCAAAAACGGCCCCATCACAGATTTCGCGGTTTGTTGTTCCTCAATCAGTAGGCCTTCTAGTTGACATTTCCGCAAAAAAATCGCGGGTGGTATGTTGACCGCATTAAAATTGTTTAAAACGCACCGTGCGATCTCTCCTGGGCGATTTAAGCGCCGCGATATATACAAGCATTTAGATTATGCAAATAAATCCTAAAAAAGAATCCGACATCAAATTGGAAAAAAAGAAAAAGCCCGTGACTCGCTACTTCGAAGCTACTCTAAAAGCCAAGAGAGACGTGCTCGAGCTTCGTTTTTAACTTTTCTCCCAAATCTGAGCGACACCTCAGTAGAGTATGGAGCGGAGCATTGAGATCAAGTTCACGCTTCGCGCCTTCAATTTCACAGATGCAACACACACATCCATCGAGCACGAATAGTTGTATCTCTGCATCGTATCATTTATAGCGCGCGTTCTCTCCCTTCGTATGTTTCCATTGTACAGGTGCAGACACTGCGGCGCGACATACATACCGGAAATCGCGAACTCTAAAAGCAAAGAACTATCTCTTCGGAAAACCTTGCTTATCGCCCTCCATGAGCTTTGATACGGACTTATTTATTCTAAAAGTAACTATGTGCGTAGAGTTAGCGCGTAGCAATCGTAGCATATACCTAGCGCTTTTCAGCATAAATACATCCATATAATATGGCTCGCTGTCGTTATTTATTCCGTTACTAACTTATGAAGAAGTTGCAGCTCGATAGTTGTATTATGAACGTTAGTCAAGATAATCCCAACTATTTAAATTCAATTCACAATGACGCATTCGTACCTAAATTACGTGAGTTGAGGCTTTAGAACATGGTTTTGTCTTTCGTTTAATAAATATTATGTTTGGACCTCATGTTTAAAGTCAGGCTATGTTATTAAAACTCCGATTCACTTATACTTCGTAGCGGTGGCATGTCACTTTTCCTAAAAAATTGTTTCCTACTGCAAGTTGTCCTAATACTTTTTTCCTACTCGTTTTTTGTCCCATCACAGTTAGCCCTACAAGTGGGATGTCCCACTGACTTTTTTCCCAGGTCATGTGTCCTAAATTCAGTTTTAAAAAACAACATAGGTACCTCACAAGTTAAAGTTGTGGCCGCATGCCCGCAATAAGTAGTGGAGCTTCATCCTCTTCCTTGTGAGGGTATATATAGGAGGCTCAGATTGTTCTTTCTCCCGTCCACGTGCAAATTCGGCTCGCTGAAAACATTTTACACATACTCTGGAATATTTCCCTCTGCTACTCTCATGTTTACGTTTCAATTATTATTGAATTATTGGGACAAACACCCTTAGGAAAAAAGTCAGTGGGACATCTCACGCGTAGGACTTACTGTGATGGGACAAAAAACGGAGTAGGAAAAAAATATTAGGAAAACCTGATGTGGGGAAAAAAAAATTAGGAAAAATGACCTAGCACCCTTCGTAGCTGATTTGGATTTATTAGCAAAATAAGTAGGTAGGTAAACCTCAAGGGTTTTCATGAATTTGGCTCCATGGTTTACTTTCCTACTCTTTCGTTGAAGTCACCCAAAGTCTCTGTCAACACCTTCTCATATTTTTGCCTTACATCGATTTTCATTTTAACTTCAGTCTACTCATTAGTGATGGCTGGATTTCGTGCCTCCGCATATGGTCTGTAACTTTTAATGCTACATTTCTACTGCAAATTTGCTTTTTGCAAATTTAGATCCTTCATCACTCAAACCAAGAGAGTATAGCCAATTTGAAAACTAACGTCTTATTGTGCACATAATGAATCTCGTTGAAATAAATTTAAAACATCTTTCTGAAACCCTCAAATTTACATAGCTCCATGAGCCTTGATCAAGCCGATACTACGTTGTTAATCTATTGATAGATATCGTCAATTAAAAGTTTGCCTCCAATTTTGCCGCTTAGGCAACAAAACTATACTTGAGTGGGAGTACGAATTATCTTTCCCTTTTCGAAGAACACATCGACGGTGAAATTACCAAACCACGTATCTCGGTTTGCGACGTCGCAGACTTCCTGTCATACTTTATTTTTTAACTGAAAAACTACTTAACATCCAATCTTGAAAATTTCTGTGATTTTTCCTCTTTGTGCGGAGAAAATTCCGTGAAAATTTCAAGGAATGATATTGATTTGGTCTACTTCAAAAAAATAAAATGTGAGCGTAGATTTTTAAACACCGCAAACGAGATACGTGGTTTGGTAGTTTCACCGTCGACATACCATATCTCATTCCATACATTTTGGGCACTGGAAAAAAAAACACATTGGATCGAGAGTCCAGACTCTTGAAAACATTGACAAGAAAAAATACCTACTCTTGATTCAATCGGACTTTTTGCTTGAATCAAAACGAAATCCGCTTAAATTAAGAGGCTGCTTGGTTCTTGATTTAAGCTAGATTCTGATTGAATCAAGAGTACTTTTTCTTGTCGATGTTTTCCAGAGTCTGGACTTTAGATCCATAATGTGTGTGTGTGTGTGTGTGTGTGTGTGTGTGTTTTTTTTTTTTTTTTTTTTTTTTTTTTTTTTTTTTTTTNTTTTTTTTTTTTTTTTTTTTTTTTTTTTTTTTTTTTTTTTCCCCAAATGATTGACGTGAATTATGAAAAACACATATTGGCACATGTTCATTCATGGTTTATAGAACAGGAAGATGACCGTAAACTTTGAATGGCTAACTAGACTTCCCTAACTAGACTCTAGCGAAATAATTAATGGAGGGAAATAATGAGTTAGTTGCGCTGGTCTCAGAATTGTGTTTTGATGCTTGATTCTTGTAGATTAGCTTAAAAAAGTAGTATATGTCCAACAGCAACTTTCTACATTGAGTATTAACCGATATATCGCTAGGATGGTCAAAGTTAACATGGGAAATTTGTTTTTTCTCCCAATAAACCGAGGCTCTCCCTAAATTTGTTCCTCATCATCCAAATACGATACCTGCCGAATATTTTCGTTCTCCGACAGTATTAACACGTGCCGCCGAGAGGTTGCGAACATCTCCAAAATAAATTACATTGATTTAATGGGGCTAAAACGGGTCGATCCGCGGTATTTCGTTCTTCGATTTTAAAATGCGCCTAAATGAAAAAACTTGATTTTTAATGAAGGAGGTACCTAAGGTCTATTGTAAATGAGAAAATAACACATTCGATTCATGGGGAGGGGGCGGGGCGGTAGGTGGTCACGACGGAGCCGATTGCAAGGTGGCAGAAACCAAGGGTGTCACTATCGCCGTCGATGACGTCATAATCCGAATTTTTCAAAGCGCGATATCTCTGTTAATGTTGAAAAGAAAGTTGCTGTTTGGATCGATCTTAATATTTTTAGCTGATCAATATCAGGAATCAAGCATCAAAACACGATTCGGAGACCAGCGCAACTGATCCATGGTAGGAAATTAAGGCATATTATGTGAGCGTTTTTTGTAGTTCGGTGATGAGCCTATAAGAAAGACGAATTTTTAAGCTTAGAAGAGCATCTGAAAAATCCGCCCATTTTCGAAGAGACACAAAAGGCCAAGCTACATATAAACTTAGCGATTGCTTAACTTCATTTGATCCAATTCGAAACCCAGACTGGAAGGTAAATCGATAACGTTTCGTGCTCTAGCTGCAGTATACTTGTTGCATACGGTGAAATTGTATAGGCGAACTTCAAATGCATACCTATCATTTGATAGATGCATCGTGTTATATCTGTAAACCAATTGGCATTTGGCAATTGGCAAATGCCAATTGGTTAACAGAACAACATCGTTCATCGGTTTAACCAAGGTTACGGAGCGATGCAAATTTATGTAAGTAGGTACTTATTTTTCGAATAGATACCTAACTATTCCCGCTCTCCAATATGTTTGTTGCCTATTCGGTGAAATTGAAGGTGAGCCTCGAGTGGAGGGTGTCCGGCAAAAGATTTACGTACTTTATATTGGTTCTAGCAAAAAAATTATGGAGGGATAATCAGCATCACTCTTTTTTTTTCTCCCCCATTTTTCCTCATCTTTTTTTCCCACTCTTGTTTTGGTGACATTGTTGGAATGGCGCCTATGAGGCAGTTGCCCTGTGAGCGCCATCCTTGATCCAGCCTTGGGTATAAATTACTACGATTCTACCTTAAATTCATGTGAAATTTGTGTTAAAATTTTCTAAAATAAAGAGAAAAAAATTTACCTTTTTAAAATTGCGAGATGGCGTTTTTACGTGAAAAAACAAAAAAAGGTTCCCTAACTCTGATATCCTTACAGTTTGTGTATGTGTGTGTATATCCAAGTGCTCCAAGACCTCCTAATTTTGCGAATTTGGTAACGCTTAGTTCCAGCGTTCTACCGGGTCAATTTTCATGATTTTTGCGGCTATCGACGGGCAATTGTCTCTAGATAAGCCAACTCTTTTCAGATTTTCAAAGTATGGCCCAGGTTTTTTTATAATACGTGGTAAAGTTGCGAATTCTCCCATTTAAACAATGTAAATTTATACTTTTTGTCATAGTTCGTTTGAGCGTTCTACCGGGCCGATTTCCACGATTTTTGCGTAAATCGATAGATAATAGTAGAGTACCTGTATAGCGAGAGTATGGACAGATCGCTTCATGGAGGGCTTAGGGCCCAAAAGTGCAGCCACCCTTCTAACCAACTTCTAACGCACAAAATTTCACTGCCAGTCTGCAGATTCCAATTCTAACCATGATGGCATAGAATGTACAGAAATGAGCGTTCTTCCGCGAAATTGAGTAAATTTATGCAAAAACTGAGTCAAACACGTGCTTAATAAACGACGGTTCGGAACAATAGTATTAGTAAATCGTTCTGGATAATTGAAATTCATAGGTTGGCTGCATTTCTGGGCCCTAACTTTATTCGCAGAAGCATCGGTGAAGGCCTGATGGATTTTCGGAGTTTCACATCTGTCCATACTCTCGCTATACAGGTACTCTAGATAATAGGCCCTAGATGAGCCCGCTGTAATAAGATTTTGGAAAAAGGACCCAGGTTTTTTTAAAATCACGTTATAAAAGTTAGTGAGTTTACAGAATGCTCCGGTACTGCTACCGCTATGCGCGGGAGGATGCGCAGTGGTCGACGAGGTTGCGCAGTAGCTGTGTAGCCTGCGCATCAGCTCTACACTTATCTACACAAGATTCGCGCTACAGTCTTCTCGATGAGCGGTTGCCGAGTCGTGTAAGACGTCGACTGCGTCCGCTTGAAACTCACAATCAGTGTGGGTTCGATCCCCAACTCACAATACATTAATTATTACCTGACTATCATTGTTCATTGTTTTACTGCAATATTTCATCAAGCAGTCATTCCAAAACGCGTCCTTTTAATTTTAAAGTAATTTTAAGTAAAGTTTAAAATTAAAGTATAAGTACCTCATATCGTAATTTTTTAGGGAAAAAATAAAACTAACACTGATAGGAGGGTAAAAATAGGGCCGCGAAGCGGCCCATTGATGGCGCGGAGCGCCTTCGGGGTTGGGCCGCGTAGCGGCCAGGGGGGGTAGCCCCCTAGTTATCCATATATTTTGGGAGAGTTCTCTATGAAATTAACGACTTTTTAAACATGTTTAGCAGCCAATGCTATTGGTTATAAATGCTAATGCTAGATATAGTCTATGTCTCTGATCTTTTTGATACTTGCAGGGACCCAGATAATTGTGGCGCACCGTGAAGCGCGGTTCCTAGACCTATGGCTCCACTCTTATGAAGGCATGTACGAAACAGATTTGTGGTACTACAACGCAGGGGAACTACCAACGACATGGATACTGCATCGGCGTCCGGACCTTGTGCACCGGGTGAAAGTCCTCTTCGGGAATGACGGCAAGTTCCAGCAACTGCTCTTCCAGCGCTACTGGCCCGGTTGGCGGGAGCAATACACGTTCCACTTGCTCGCCCGAAAGGCCCACCAAAGTGGCCTTCGCAATATCTCACCCAATGCTTCCTACCCGGTCGACTTCAACGAGCACAACCTCCAGAACTACCCAATCACCTTCCGCGAGATGGCTAACGAGGTCCTCGATTATGAAAAGATCCTCCTAAAAGAAGATTTGGCCCTAGGCCAAGAATCGAGCTAACCTGCCAATGGCAATATACATACCTATAACTCTTCGGTGTGCCGATGGCTGAAGTCGAAAAATACGTACTCCGATTGCGGTGTTGCAAATCTCCGATCATGTCCTAGTTTCCTTTAAAAATACATCGTGCGACATCTTTTCCAAGAAATTTGCAGGAAATTATCTCTATTTACCTATATTAGAAAATAATCACGGAGAAAATTTAAACTTGACATTTTGGTTCGATTCCTATTACAAAATAGAACACAATTGAAAATTTTGGAACATTGCGATGGACATACGCATTTTTCGACTTCAGCCATCGATTCTCACTTGCAGAGGAACCAGTAGGTATTCCGGGAGGTATCTCGAGGTATGACAGGTGCGTTGTCTTCGCTGTTTACATGAGGTTGGAAAAAATTCTAAAAAAATTTCCCCTCGCCTAATTTTAATCAACAGAAACCTTCTCAACTGAAGCGCACGAACCTGCCGTACTCGTACCTCTTTGAATGAAATTTGTTTAATTGAATAAGTACTCAATGTATTGACTTATTCAGCCACCTAGGCTATGAGAATTCATGGCTACCTACGATGTGATACCTAGGACAAAGGATTACTTGTCCGAGTCATGGAATCATGTGCCCACAAACTGACAGTTGAGTGAAATTTGCTTTAAAACATTACCTCTCTGGATAAGTGTAAGACCTTTGGATTTAATTTTTCACTAAATCTTTCGCCTCAAGCCTTAGTGCCTTTTAAGGAATGGCTTGCATTTAGGTATTTGTCTTGAGGGCTATAAGTGACTAGTGAAAAATGGTGTCTGTAGATTACAGAAAAGTAATTACAAGACTTCAGAGTTATCATTCGTAAGTAAACTGATGCAAATTCTTGATTTTTCTAATTTACCAGCAATTGGAAACTAGCCGTTCAGAAAATACATAACGCTCTAGGGGGGGGGGGATTGAGGAGAGCGTCACGCCATTTTTTTTCATAACTTGTTAAAGGCATAGAGTATTAAGTAGTTGTGAAAGGATACGATCTTACGTCGCACAAAAGCGTTATAAGATGGGAAATAGGGGAGGGGGTCGAAATATCCCAAATATCAGAAATTTAGCGTTGCTATAATTTATGAACGGTCCCTAAGCTTAAGAGAATAACAATATGTCAGTACTTTGATTCTAGTCATTCAGTATGAATTTTTTTATTTTTATTTTGGCTAGACTCGGAAATTGCATCTGCTGACGTCTTGCCATTTTTTCTCGGATAAAGTAAAACTAGTCATTAACTGTTTCCTCCAAAATCTAATTTATAATATTTATTTTTTGAAAACTTGCAAACATTTTCTGGAGCTTCAGAGTCATTTGAGTAGGTACAATATTGGCTCATAATATCACTGAAATTCCACCCTCCGTTTTTGATTCTTGCAACTGATGGTAGTATTCATCCTATGTTGATTCTAATAATTGTTACCTACCTTATTCTTCCTCTTTTTTACTTTCTTTACATGTTGCTTCAAGTACAGGGTGTCCCAGAGCACCCATATCAGGCCTTTTTCTCGGTAGATTTAGGTCGAACGAAGTCGGCGACCGCGGGGTTGAATAAGGAATTGACTCTAAGGAATCCGAATTTCATGGTTTCGAATGGTTGGAAATGATCTGTATGGTCCCGAAGCCCCCCTAGCCTCCCTCGGGGGGGGGGGGGGGGGGGTAAATGGGGGGCTAAATGGGTTCGGTACCATGAAAGTCGAATTCCTTGGGGTCGATTACGTGGTAAACCACCTTTCTTCGGAGAAGCTGCATCAACTTTTGACCAAAGGGAAACTATGGATGGGGCCGCTGCCCCTCTCTTTAAAGGATCATTTTTGAGCGTAAAGTGGTCCAATTTTGGATTTTCAGGGGTCGATCTTACGTGAAACCGTACTTTTCAATTCTAACAACATCGAATCGAAATTCTATCGTGACCCCCCTTTATCTCTCAAAGGGGCCTAGGGGGGGTTCGAGACCATGAAATTCGGTTCCTTGGGGTCGATTCCCTAATCAACCCCGCGGTCGCCGACTTCGTTCGACCTAAATCTACCGAAAAAAGGCCTGATATGGGTGCTGGGACACCCTGTATAAAGTATGTGCTGTCTTTTCTCTTAGTTTGGTTATTTCTAAGTGTATTGGACGGAAACAATTATATCAACTGAGGACATCCATGGCTTAAGTAAAAAAATGCAGATCTCTCTTAATTCCAACGTTTCTAAAAATCCTGTTACGTACAATTCATTTTAGAAAAATAAAATAATCAAAATATTTCCTTGAAATTATCTGTAAATAAAGTTAAATGAGTGAAAGAATTTAGAGAAAATTGTATGAGAGCCTACAGAGCATTACGAAACAATAAACATAGAATGACAGAAAGCATACTAACAGAGATCGACAACAGCACAATATCACATACCTACAGGCCCGCCACAAGGGGGGGGGGGGATACTGGGTCCCCAGTACCGGGGCCCGGAAGGGGCCCGTATTACCCGTGAAAAACCACTACGAATTCACATGCAACCCTTATTTCGTAAGAAAAAGTGAAAAATTTACCCTAAAAATTTCGCAAAAGGTGAATAGATTTTCAGAAACACGCTGGGGCACTGTACGGAGAAAAAAAAACACGGTTATTCGACGGTTACCACGGTAATACTGTCACACGGGATTCCTTGGAAGTGGAACCGTGGATTTTGGTAATATTATTGATGAGCACAGTAGCATAACTATGCTCATAATAGTATGTCTGTGCTCACAGTAATATTACGGTGAACACGGTCATATCACTGTGCTCATCGTTACAGGAATCAAAATCCACGGTTCTACTACCGTGGAATCCCGTGTGACATTACTACCGTTGTAACGGTAGAATAACTGTGTTTTTTTTCGGTGTAGAATTCTTCTTAAATTTTCAAAGAAGGATACTTCTTGGAAAATGTCTATCTATTTTCAAGATTTTCAGTAAAGAGGGATATTTTTAGTAACTGCGTTTCATTTTCTTCCGTCGTCAGATGCTAAGAGTCTCCAGTCTGGGCATCCTCGACTTCAATGGCTCATGGCTCAACTCCCTTGCCATGGAAACGAAGGGGGAGTCCAGGGGGGCCTTGCCCTCATAGAACTGAAAATAGTATCATATGCCCCCCCCCAAAAAAAAAAAAATAAATTAAAAATTTTCCAGATGTTTTGAATCCAACAATTCGTAAGTATTTTGTGCTGAAAGTATAAAAAAAACATGATTATTTCGCAGAAATTGATGGAAAAATTCTTAATGGAAGCTTCAAAATGCGTCCAATTAGTCGTATTAATTCTAAAATTTCTCGGGGGATGCCCCTCGGACCCCCCTTCCCTCCGAGATTGGGGCCCGGACCTTAAAACTGGTACCAGGGCCCGAGATGGGATGCGGCGAGCCTGCATGAAGGCTATTCCCATTTACTTAAATCATCTGTCACATTCATACGGCGCAATGATACAACTATTTGAACTCTCCGGAATGCGTGAGGTATCACGCCGCATTTGAAGGCGTTTTCAAAACAGCCAAGTTCCGATACCCTATTATCGTTTTGCATAGTTCATATTCTTTTGTTATATTCCGTGCCACTTCTTTATTTTTAATCCTCGTAAAAAAACCATCCATTTGTACATACAATTCTAGCAACAGCGCACTTCAGCTATGCATTCACCACTGCGAAAATGTCATAGGAAATCGACACGCCCAGCAGGCATGGATGCTATTTCCATTTAAATCTTCCCACACATTCTTACGGCGCAATGATACAACTATTTGAACTCTCCGGAATGCGTGAGGTATCACGCTGCATTTGAAGGCGTTTTCAAATCAGCCAAGTTCCATTACCCGGATTATCGTTTTGCATAGTTCATATTCTTTTGTTTCCATTTCTAACCACTTGTTTAATTATAATCCTTCCTATAAAAACCACCCATTTACTAAATACAATTCTAGCTGAAGCGCACTTAAGCGCATTCATGACTGCAAAAATGTTAACGGAAAACGATAAGGCCAGCGTGCATGAAGGCTATTTCCATTGTAATCTTCCGTCGCATTCATACGGCGCAATGATACAACTATTTGAACTCTCCGGAATGCGTGAGGTATCACGCCGCATTTGAAGGCGTTTTCAAATCAGCCAAGTTCCGATACCCGGATCATCGTTTTGCATAGTTATTCTTTTGTTATGTTCCGTGCCACTCGTTTATTTTTAATCCTCGTAGAAAAACCACCTATTTGTAAATACAGTTCTAGCTGAAGGGCACTTAAGCTGTGCAATCACCACTGCAAAAATTTCAGAGGAAATCGACAAGCCCAGCGCGCATGGAGGGTGTCTCCATTAAAATCTTCCGTCACATTCTTACGGCGCAACGATACAACTATTCGACCTCTCCGGAATGCGGGAGGTATCACGCCGCATTTGAAAGCGTTTTCAAAACAGCCAAGTTCCGATATCTGAATCATCGTTTTGCACAGTGCATAGTATTTTGTTTTCATTTCTAACCACTTGTTTATTTATAATCCTTCTATAAAAATTACCCATTTGCTATATACAATTCTAGCTGTAGCGCACTTCAGCTATGTATTCACCACTGCAAAAATGTCAGAGGAAATCTACAAGCCCAGCGTGCATGAAGGCAGGCCTGCCACAAGGGGGGAGGGGGGATACTAGGTCCCTGGTACCGGGACCCGGGCCCCGGAAGGGGCCCGTGTTACCCTTGAAAAGCCACTACGAATTCACATGCAACCCTTGTTTCGTAAGAAAAATTGAAAAAATTACCCTAAAAATTTCGCAAAAGGTGAATAGATTTTCCGACACACGCTGGGGCACTGTAGAATTCTTCTTAAATTTTCAACTGTAAAATTCCTATCTATTTTCAAGATTTTCAGCACAGAGGGATATTTTTAGTAACTGCGTTTCATTTTCTTCCGTCGTCAGATGCTGAGAGTCCCCAGTCTGGGCATCCTCGACTTCAATGGCTCATGGCTCAACTCCCTTGCCATAGATAAACGAAGGGGGATTCCAGGGGGGCCTGGCCCTTACAGAATTGAAAATAGTATCATATGCCCCCCCCCCCAAAAAAAAAAATAATAATTTTCCAGATGTTTTGAATGCAACAATTCGCAAGTATTTTGTGCTGAAAGTAAAAAAAAAAAAAAAAAAAAGCATAATTTTTCTGCAGTAATTGATGGAAAAATTCTTTATGGAAGCTTCAAAATGCGTCCGATTTAGTCGTATAAATTCTAAAATTCCTCAGGGATGCCCCTCGGACCCCGCCCCCCCCCCTCCGTACTTGGGGCCCGGACCTTAAAACTGGTACCAGGGCCCGAGATGGGATGTGGCGGGCCTGATCACATATATCCATTTGCCGACTTGCAGATATATAGATGGCTATAGGTCGGTACCACACTTGTTTAGGTAACCTTTTTTGGAAATTGGATTTTATTTCGTTTTAACCAGTTCATTAATGACTGAATGGGTTTTCTTTAAAATGAATATTCTGAAAGTACCAGGTGAGTAGATTACAAGGTGATTATCTGGGTATTTTTGGAGCCCAAATCCCGGACAAGCCCGCTTTTAAGAAGTCCATGGACTCAAAGGAATTTCAAAAGCGCCGGAATGGCTGGAAAACGATGGAAAGTGATCTACTACAGCAGTCAAATCACTGATTTCTATCAATTTTCACAGATGTTTGTCATAATGAATTGTATTCAAATGTGGAATTGTTGCTGGTTTACAACAGATAATATGAATCAAATTCGATTTTTTTTTTCTTTTCTCTCCCTGTAATTTAGGTTTTTGATTTATTAAAAATTCTGCAACTCTGAGATAGTGAAATTTGATTGTTTGACTCTGATGGTTTACTTTTGAATTTAATATTATTTCGCGTATGAGAAGTAGGTAGAAATAAATACTTTTAACGGAAGTCGTAGAAACCCATATTCGTTTCTGATTGGTGCTTGATGACAGCCATTTCATTTGGTGCGGAAATTGGGCATTTTAAATTTCCAGAAAAGTTGTGCTCTCTGAACTGCGTATTTTTCCGTTTCTGAGCCACATTTTTGCAGTTTAATATGCCTATGTGTTTCACGCTTCTTACCTTTGGAGATAGGTATGTACTCAGAAGTTAAAATCCATTCATGGTTCAGTGACCCATTTGAGCAGACCAAGAATCTTAAAATAATACAGGGTTACATAAACTCCGCCTACTTTACATTATTAAAATTGGTGATCAACTTTCTAGGAAACATCACCTTTTGATTTCATACAAAAAAATGCACAAATATAGATAGTGATCCCAGAATACTTTCTTTTATATTTAACATTATTTTTTCTGCTACTCATTTTAACATCTTCATCTAGGAGTATGCTCCAACAAGAATAATGGTCGCACTGGGTGCGTGAGGGGGGCATCTCTGTTCCAGTGTTTCAGGCTCTTTGCTAATATTTCATTCATGGTTAGTTCCAAGAATGCATGGATTTTACTAAAATGTTTACTGAATATTCTTTATGATCTGTTATCTTCTGATAACAATGTTCTGTGGAACAAATTCTGCAGAAATCAACCATCAGATTCTTCTCTGAGACATAAACTAGCTATAGTACATTGCAGTGACTTTTTTGCAATAATTTCATGACATTATTCATTGTAGTAGCTGGGTGGGTTGAAAATATAAAAAAAAATTAAGTATGCTCGAGAACTTTTCAAGGCTTCACATATCCTGTTTCTCTCTGAAAATGTGTACACATGGATCCCATAAATTGTCAAGCAGCACCTTGGAGCATACTTAAATAACTGCTTTGGATGTTAGATGAGGAAAATTGGTAAATGAAAAAGAGGAGAAAATAAGAGGAAGCAGACCTTTAGGAATTTATGGTGCTTTTGGTATTTTTTCAGGTAAGAAAGTTCACTGATTAAATCATTAAAATTTTATTTTAAAAATCAATAACAGTGTTTAAAGCAAACATTATTTTTAAAAATTCTGTGAGAATTTATGAGCTTTAATATAGAAATCGAGCAAACGATGAATTGTTTTGGCAAGGTTGACCAGCCTGATGACACGAGTATGATGAAACTTAACTTAGGTCATCTATGACTAAGTGTACAAGAGGAGAGGTTGTAATATAATTATTGGGAGTGCATAAGCGCCAAAGGTCTTTGGCATACACATAACAGATTCCTTTCATAGCTTGCTTTAAAACAAGATTTTTTGAGTTTCCCCAATGATTTTGAGGCTACCTTCACTATCCTTAAAATCAAAGTTTCCAAAAGTTTCAGTGCTTATAGATAAGATCAGGACTTCTATGTGCATATGTGTAATGAACTTTACCTGGTTCCGGGATGTGTCTTGCTAAGAATGGTTTACAATTAATAAAATTATACTTTTGAGGTACATTAAATAAGATAACACAGGTACCAACCGCACCAAGAAAACATAACCACTGTTTCCAAAATGGAATTCCCCAGACACCTGGATCTGTGATGGGCCATTCACCACGGTCTTCCGCAAGTATGTGTTCATAGATAATTAGTGGCTCACAATAGTCTCTTCTATCTTCCGGACACGTCCAAGGTTCCCAGTGGTCCTTGTTTATTATTGAAATAGGGGGAAGCTTTGGATAGTCACCTGAAAAGGAACAATGACATGAATAATTATTATTAAGAGATTTCAAACAAGCATGAGCACTTCAAAAACGGTAGAATATAAGATCATCATGTTCTTCACAGAGCATTTTGCACATCTTTATTAATGGACGGTTTTGTTACTCTTGGTCTGTGTAAGATAGGGACACTAGCTTTTGTCATATACTTAATTAATCCCAATCAACATATACTTCAAGGAAACTCAGCTTCTTGAAAAGCACAATCAGAGAAAGAGAGCTACATGACCTTTACATACTGATGAGCAGATTGCCTGTGGGATGATCAAGGCTTTTTAGCAATATCTTGCTAAGGATGTTATCATTATAGAGAACTAGCTCATCGCAACCTCACTGATCTTCTGAAATTTTTCAAGCCCGTCAATAATACCTGTTGAATGGAACGTCAGCTTTAACCTTATATTTTATGTTGTTGGTGGCATAATTCACTTTTGACTTTCACTGAGTCAAAAGTGAATTATGCCACCAACAACAGCTAAAAGGCCTGCAGCTTTTTCGATTTGGTTTTCGTAACTCGCTATTTCGATAAGCCGTACACACCACATTAGCCGCCTCACTATGTCATTTGCGTATATATCTAACTAATAAAAGGGACATTAAGAAGTTTGTTTAGGGAATAAGTCCTATAACCTGTTCAAGATCGGGAGAGCCGTCAAAAATCTATGTGAATTACATTAAGTTGAGGCAAGGTAGCATTCAATCCATTGTCACAAGTCACCTAGCCGACCCCACACTGCACAGAGGGTTTTTTATTTGTTTATTTTTAGTTTATCATTTCAAAAACTGCTCCTGGCTTAAGCTGTACAGGAAACCACCACATACCAAGACTTATAATGCCCTGCGCGAAACATGGAGAATGACAGTTAACAGGAGTCGAGACACCCCCAACCCTGCAGAATAGGGCAATTAATTCTGATTTGCCACTGTTCTTCCCATATTGAGCAGACTATAGTATGATCATAGAGTATATAGAGTTTTAATGTAAATGGGAGAGCTGGCGCCATGTTCTGCTCGACGAGTTCCAAGCACGATGTGCACCAAGCTTTGGTCACTTTTTTATCACGTATTCAATTCAATACGGCAGTGTGGGATATGTGGTAATTCCTATCTTCTTTGTTCCATCGGATGACCGGGTAGCTGTGTATCGAAAACAATCAATCATGTATCGAAAAAGTGACTTGGTGTTGCACAGGAGTCTCGGAATTCGGGACCTGAAAAATGCTTAGAGGAGGTGCCAGCTCTCTCACTTACATTTCGGCTCTATGTACTCTTTGGCTTTCTTGAGCATTAATGATCATCCATCATGATTAGGACAGAAAATGCTCAACACATTGCTTGGGTAGGTGCCCATTTTCTTTCAATAAAAATAATGTTGATCTATGAAATTAGCCAGTGAATAATCTTGAAGAGGGAAATTTTAGTGTGGTGCCTTCTCACAACTTCAGAAGACCATCAAGTGAACTCACTGATACTTTTATGATGGCTCCTTAGGACACTAACGATTCCATGAATTGCTTCAAAGCTTAAGGAAAAGGGCGCTATGCGCTGTTTCATCAAGGAGGCTCCGCTCCTTGGATTGGGACTTGGGTATACAGTATTTCAAAGTTTGAAAATGAAAGATGTGTTGAACAGTAAATAACTTACCCCAGCCCCAGCCATCATCTTCATAGGGTTCATATTCCTCAGGCAGCAAATTGTACTTTTTGGCAGCCGCTATTCTCTCCTCCTCAGTTTTAGGATATGGACCAGCTTTCCAATGTTTATTCCAGTGACCACATCGTACCGATGTTACCAGAGGAATACTTTTTTTGATTGAAAATACCGACAATCTTGACAGCATTTCTCAGGGTAGAGGAGAATTACAATGCTCCAACAAAACGACCGCACTACATACACTTGAGAACTAGCTACAGATTGATTAGAGCAAGTGACCTCGAAATCCTTGATCAATAACAAGCAGAAAAGTCAAAAGTATTCTATGGAAAAGTGAGGTTAAGCCGCACAACACGAACAGAAGAATCTGTGCATGAAAGAAAAAGAAAGAGACTTTTTCACTCTTCCATGATCTGTGTCTGTCTGCATAAATATTAAATTCCTAAACATTCTAAACATATGATTTCATATCTTTAAATTATTTCACAGCCTAGTGAAATTTCATGAAATATTTGACTGAATTCCTTTCATATGAATCTCGACATATGTCAGTATGAGTATGTCAGTACCAGTACCATGTCAGTACATGTCAGTAACTGTATACTGTATGACTGTAATTCGAAAAATATGTCAAAATATTGGCTATTGTAAGGAGGCCTTATTCTGTAAACAAAACACTCGAAGTCGAAATGGCCGAATGGCGGCAAACAGCTTCCAGGCAACGCTCGGCATGACAATCCCTCTGAAGTCGATGTCGCAAGCTTCTTTGCACTAATTTTCATTGCCGAGGACTGTGCTGTATTTATTCTATTTGAATTTCTTACCTGGTCCATCGGAAGTTATCCCTCCACTTGCATCTCAAGATTAATTGATTCTAAGGCTCTGGGCGCCAGACAGGATGTCTTCAAGCAAGGTAATGAGATTTTTAGATTTCCCCTTGCTCCTCTCGCGATTTTGAGCCAGAGGATTGCATTTTATCATTTTTGCCAAAAACAAATGAGTTCTAATCCAGGAAAATATATAGTAATTGCAATCCAAGTAGTTGTCAATTATTACCTGGAGTCAGATGCTGAGTTCCGGAATATACAACATTACTGGTAACCAGATTCCCACAAGGTTTTGCCAAGCAAATCTTGATCGGGTCCTATCACTGATAACAACCCTTCAGCTAAGTTCTACACCAGTGATATCTGAACAATTTCACCCTATTATGTTCCAAAATCATCACAAGTTTTGAACTTCACCATTCCACCATGTGTGATGAGACTGTAGTGCCGATCAGGGCTGTCGTCAGCTAAGTTGGTAGTTGCTTCCTTTCCGTCTGCAAGCAACTGCATTGAAGTTGTCCAATAGCAATCGAGGATTGATTATTGCTTGGTCTAAAGCATCATCGCCATCAAGCGCAGAGACGTGAATCGGTCCATTCCGCATTTCAGTCAAACTTCCAACTTAGCCGACAACACCTCTAAATACCTCAACGTTGCAGAGCCCTCCAACAATTTTCGCTTAGTTCTCTTGTACTGTAGCTCACAGAAGCAAGAAAAGAAGGGATAAAAGTCACATCAACCAATCAGCTGTCTGCCCATTGGTTAGGGCTTAACTGTCTGCTGAATGGTGCCGTATTCTAACGTGACATTTGTCCATTCTTTTCCACTTCTAATATCCTTAACGAAAGTATTCTATCCAGAGTCAGCAGACCTCTACTGGTAATTGGTGCAAGTGCGAGGGTTCTACATGGACGGCTGAAGATTTCCATCGAAGAGGCATGCTTTCCATAGTAATTCTATGGCTTCCGTGCCTATGTTGCAAATTATGTGTTCCATACTGGCATGTAAGGATCATGGACCATTATGGTTTTCATGCGAAATTTTAAAACTAATTTGAAGTTTTTTTACAATTGCTCAACTATCTAGGATAAGTGCTGATAATTCCTGTGAATATTTTGTAAGTAGAAAAAATTATGCTCCATCTTACCCTAAATCTATTACCTAATTCACCGATTAAAGTGACCCATGATGGTTCAAAATTTTATTTGTATGCAGTGTGTCAACTATTGATCACCATGCCTCTTGTCTTTATAGAGCACAACTTCAGATGGAGATCAGACAAGAACAAGTGATAAGAAATACAGTATTAAAGGCTGGAATTGGGGTGGAGTAAAATTTGATGGGCCTATGCTCACTTTTGAAGTTGACAAACTACCTGGTTTTGAAATTCCGCTGGATAAAGTGTCACATTGTACTACAGGAAAGAATGAAGTTACAATAGAATTCCATCAAGTAAGTTGTCTTATCATTCTCTCTCTTTGAATTCCTCCATCATTTCTTTGTATCAGATTTTTCCAGGTAAAACAGAATTGTTGAATTTTATCATTATCAAAGAGAATTACTGGATGAAGAAAAAAATTGAAGAGTTAGAAACTTTACAGTTAAATAAGTTGGCCTCCATCCAATTTATGTGCAGCACTTCGCCTTGCAAAAGGTCGCAAAGTTAACATGAAGGCATGGCTTTAACATGAAATCTTTCATTGAACTACTGACCCATTTCTCATTGCCTCAACTATTTCAAAATGAAGTCACTATCACTAAAATGAGTTTTGTGACTTATTTGGACCTAGAATCATGTTTCGGGGGTTTTAGAGCCAATAAAATTTTAAGCAGAAATCCGGAGATTAGATCCCATGCCAGCTCGATAATCAGGCAAGCGTCTGAGCCCCTCGGCCACTGGGAGAGGGTATCATTGTCATGGAAATTAGCCGTGTACGAGGTTCTCCGCCAGGGAGCTCTCCTCGCTAAAAATGGTTTACCACCCGTCTGTCAGGAGCGATGCGCCATGCCAGAGCCGCATAGCCTCACTTCTCACATGTTTCGTGTGTAGTAATTGGGTAACAAATAGTTGCTTTGTGCTTTGTGTAATCACTGTAAGCGAGGAATCAATCATGTTTGTGCAGTATTATTAATAATTATATTTGTGTTCAGTACCTCGTAAAAAGGAGCCGCGAAAGATGAAATCTGCCGGGATGCTTAAGTTCATGAACAACATAAATATTAGCTTCGAATATAGACCTAAGTGTCAGTTCTATTGTTAGCTTCGATGATTCATAGTATGTAAGTACCTAATTAGTCATCTAATTTTGCTGGATGTGTACGGAGTAATTTGGAGATAATACTTTTGATATTCTGGGTTTCACCTGACCCAAAGCATTTGCTGCTAATACTCAGGAGTGTCCAGTCTCTTTCAGCGGAGTGCCCAATCGACAATTTTATTTGCCCGTCTCCAATTTTAAGTCTAGACCAAAGATCTTTTAGGTATTTAATTTACTGACCCAGGTGGTGCTTGATGTCAACTTTCAAAAATTTAAAAGCATTTTTTCAAAATCTAAGGTCTTGTCAAAGTGAGCTCCTGGTGTGAATTTTATAGAAATCATGTTTTGCCCCTAGTCCCCCCCCCCCAAATTTTGGCGCCCCAAAATCACTTGACGTGCATACTTATGGAGACCATAAATATGGTCTTTCATGCAAATTTTGAATGAAATTGAACTCAAAGATTTTGAAATATGGCCGTACATAGATTTAGGGGACGCTGGACGGACAGGCACACATTTTTCCAAGTGTGGTTATTCTGACTCCAGGCACCTTAAAACGCCCAAAAATTAGGAAATTTCACTTTTTTTTTTTTTTTTTTTTTTTTTTTGAGGATGACAAAACTTTGTCTACCTGAAAGGGGAGCAAGAAATTTTTTCCTGCTGAAAAAGCCTTCCTAAAAACCTTGACGTTTAAGAATGTAAGCTGTACTTGAGCTAAAGGTAATACCTACTCTTTCTTAAGTTCCAAGTGAATTTAGAGTTGTGAATTTAAATGAGAGGTAATATTAATATGGTTTTTTGTCTTGATAGTATCCATTGGACTCGGATAAAGGGACGAGTTCTACTGTGTGATCCACAAGTACCTCGCCACTCCTTATTGTTCTTGCCCCTTTTCAAGGTAGTCCTCTCGAAATTTTAGGGGATCCCGAAAGTAGTTACCTTTGACCCAGAAGCACTGAAAAAATTTTGAGTCTCCATCTCAATTCATTCAAAAGTTTCAGGAGTGATGCCTGGTGCTAGTGGTGTGGGAGATTTGGATCACCCATATTGGACCCCTAACTTCTTTGATAGCCAATTTAGAAATCTGTAAGCAGTTAGTTGAGCTGCCAACTCACGTAGAATCCTAACAACTAACTGATGTTAAGCACATCATAAACAATCCATAATGCCGTGAATGTCTGATTTAATTTGGTCTTGGCAGCCATTTTTAAGGGCTGCAATATTCAGAAGGATTAAAAGGGGTCGAAAAATGTATAAATATCTCTATTTTCCAAAATTCGGCATATGCAAGTATGGTTCTTTTAATATTGGCTTATCTTTGTATCAAAATGAGCGATGGACAGGTCGAGGTTCGGGGAAGTATCTTTTGACTATAGGAAGATCTTATGTTAGGTTGCAGTGTGATCGGATGTCATACCAGTGAATCATACTGTAAAACTAGTCCCTGCCTCACATTCTTGAATTGTTGCTCTGTACCTTGCCCGCGTATTTAAGGAAGGTCATATGAATCATTTGCATTATCATTATTTGAATCTGAAAATGTATCGATTCTATATCATCATTATTTGGTGTATTTCATATAAAAATTCACATTTTTTACCTCTGCTATCTCTTTGTTACACTATTGTGCTAAGGAGAATGGCTGTCCAAAAACTGCTGCAGTGCCCAATTTTCGCTGATAATTTCAGAATTACAGGGAAAATTTGGAACACACCTTGAACACAATTTCTCTCATCAAATTTTACGGTTTGATTTATCAATAGAGATTTCAAAAATGTGATGAATCAACTCTTTAGCGATGTGAATTTCTTGCTTAGTGACCTTAAATTTGTTTTTTCTCCAGAATGATGAAGCTGCAGTCAGTTTGATGGAAATGAGGTTTCATATCCCCTCTGCCGAGGTAGCTGGTGCTCCTGATCCAGTTGAAGAATTTCACGATCAAGTAATGCAAAAAGCCTCTGTCATCAACGTTTCTGGTGATGCTATCGCAATTTTCCGAGAAATTCCATGTGTCACCCCACGTGGTCGTTATGATATCAAAATGTTTGAAACCTTTTTCCAACTTCATGGGAAAACATTTGACTACAAAATCCCAATGTCAACAGTTCAAAGGCTGTTTTTGCTTCCACACAAGGATGGTAGACAGAAGTTTTTTGTGGTAAGTTGGTCTTTACATGTCTCCATCTAACAAGGTGGAGAAATGGTACTGGGTCCACACCATTTCGCAGGAATCAAAGCCAAGAAATACCAAAAATTAAAATTAGAGTCAAAAATAAATTTTTAGAACTCTAATGCGCACCAGTACGAAACTGAGGGGGGAGAGTGTTCAGCTCAGGCAGTTTGCATTGGAATATTAAGTTGGAGTCACGCCGAGAGATCTATACCGGTTTGGACCTTATTAGACCTCATCAGTAGATCACACTCGGCAGTGAACCCAACTTAACATGCCACAAAATCCAAGACTGCATTAAAACGCCGTTATGGATATGACCCGAGGCATGACACAAAAGTGTGATCCTCGCGCCATCTACCGTTGCTGCTGAACAACTCTCATAACAAAACAAGGAAAACCTAAGAAAATGATTATCGGGCTGGTTAGAGATGCAAACGCATCTAGACGCAACCGCCCGCTTCTGAACGAGAGAAAACTTCTGCCGAGTGTGATTTACTGATGAGGTCTAACAAGGCCCAAACCGGTATAGATCTCTCGGCGTGACTCCAACTTAATATTCCAATGCAAACTGCCTGAGCTGAACACTCTCCCCCCTCAGTTTCGTACTGGTGCGCATTAGAGTTCTAAAAATTTATTTTTGACTCTAATTTTAATTTTTGGTATTTCTTGGCTTTGATTCCTGCGAAATGGTGTGGACCCAGTACCATTTCTCCACCTTGTTACGTACAGTTCGGGCGACTTCTTAGTGTTTAATTTTTTCATGTCTCCATCTTAACATCAATTAATTAACTCTAAATATTCCTTTAATCCATTAGCATGTATTGATGAGTATACTCTTCATGGTGCGTCTGGGACAAAAATGTATTGACGAGTCATTGCGCGCCATCTTGCAGCATTGCTAAGTGATTCTTTTCGTCGTTTTTCTCTGACTTTTTGATAGATAGTGCTACTAGCATTGTTCTAAATGTCATTCTGGAGGATTCTGTTGCTAACTTGAATGAATTCTAGTGAATTTTTTTTTTTATAAGAAGCAACAAAGTGTTTTTATTGAAAAACAAATTGTATTGCCAGGCGCAACCAGCGCAAATAATGACATGCAAATTGGTTTAGGTGCAATATTTCAGACATGATGGTCATCGAGCAGCTGGTGAATAAAATCTTTTTCATACGGATGATATGTGCCGAGTATTTTGCCTCATGTGACATACATTGTAAGTGGTGTTAATTATGAGGCTTGTACCTTCATCTGTTGCATGCGAACTGATCTGTATTCACTGTGATTCTTTGCAAACTTGGGCAATTAATAGATGACTGAAACTCCCTTTATTTATTTGGTTGAAGACCAAGTGTGCTTTCTTTTACAAATATGATGGTTGCATGGAAGTAAACTATTAAATTGCTTATCTACTTTCCTTTGATCACAATGAGTGATTGAATTATTTCCTTGTTTGGGTTTTGAAGTCCCATCTGCAATTCTTATCCCTGAAAATCCCTTCTCAGGTAAATAGTAAATATGTCTCAGTGAATCGACTCAGTGAAGAAAGAGTCAGAATCTTGGCTCCCACTAAGTATCTCAACAAAAGGAACTCGAGCAACTAAGGCTGCTACGCTAATAGCCCATATGCCTCAGACAAAATGTATTTGGAGTCATAATTTTTAAATCCAACATGTAGCTTTTCAATGGTTAAGAGTAGGTAGATTCTTTACAATTTGACAGTTTGAATCTTTCACAGTGAGAAATCCTGTGTAAATTGCCAAAAAATTTGAGTACAAGAACACTTGCAGTTAAGGCTGATTTTTCTCATGATATTCCTATGTTTGGCCTGTATGTTGCAGGTGAGTGTTGATCCGCCAATCAAGCAAGGTCAAACTCGGTATCCGTATGTTGTTTTCACCTTCAACTCAGATGATGAAGAAATTTCCATAGAACTTCCGCTGTCTGAAGAAGAATTGAAAGAAAAGTATGAAGGAAAGTTGTCAAAAGAGTTGTCTGGTCAAACGTACGATGTTTTGGGGTCCCTAATGAAAGCCATCACAAAGACTAAAATTATAGTTCCTGGAAGTTTTGTTGGTGCCTCTGGCACTCCAGCGGTTGGATGTTCCTACAAGGCTGCAGCTGGATACATATACCCATTAGAGCGAGGTTTCATGTTTGTGCACAAACCGCCAATGTACATAAGATTTGAGGAACTTTCTAGTGTCAATTTTGCCAGAGGTGCAGGAAGTATGACAAGGTTTGTTCAATCAAATATTTAACTTTTTTTTTTTTATTTTAACCAACGTCTTTTTTTTGAGTTGCTTTATTCCTGCTACATCCTACCATTTGGTTCCACTAAAACAGAAATGCTGGTCGCAAAAACAGCAATTCTTGGTCGCAGTGTCTCAGAATATCAGCTAACATTTTTGTGCAATTAGGTGAAAAAGAAGATGAAGACGAAGATGTTGTCTTCACATTAATGTTAAAAGCTGTGAGGGGCAGATCTCAAGTTCATCGCAAAGCGAGGAACAGGGGGTCCAGGGGCACTCCCCCGCTAGGTGTGACAGCTCGCAAAGCGAACTAATCACGGCTAGTATAATATAAAGCTACGGTACTGACGAGGGTGTCTACAAATCCAGAATTTCTGGACACTCCGGAAATAGTACCGATTTTTTAAGGGAGGTCCAGACGTACTAAAATAGTGTGAAAATTCCGCAAGAGGTCCGGAATTTTTTCATTGTTTTGTTATTTTCGTCTCGATTTGAGCGAGAAATTTTTAGTCAAATTTTTATCAAAAATTTAGTCAAATAGAGGTACTGAAAAAGTAATGAATTTCTCTGTTAAGGAGGTAGTGAATTTTTTGAGAATGTACGGAAAAAGCACCGTAAAAGTACTGATTTTTGGCCAGCCTGTTTTAGGAGACACCCTGCTGATATATTCATCAACATTTCACTAAAAAACTGTTGAAGCGATTTCCTTCAAACTTGGCAAGAATGAAGCCAAGAGCTATCAGAGCATGTCTAAAAAATCAATTTTCATCATATTCGTCTCTAAAGCCCAAAAAACAGAAAAGTTGTTTTTCCCTTTTCTAATGCATGGGAGATACAAGGTTGGTTGATACAAGGAGACCCCGGTTTGCCCTGCTCCTGACCGATCGATTTTTGTAAATTTCGGTAATAGGGAGTCAGGGTGTTTTCAAGTCCGGAATTTCCGGAAATAGCACTGATTTTTCAAGGGTGGTCCAGAAGTACTGAAAGAGTGAGGACTTTATGCAAGAAAGTCTGGAATTTTTTAATTTTTGTCGCAATTTGAGCGGGAAATTCAAATTTTTGAAATTTTTCGAATTTCGTCAGTTGAAGATATTGAAAAAGTACTGAATTTTTCTGTCAAGGAGGTACTGAATTTCTCGGGAATATACTGAAAAAGTACTGAATTTTGGCTAGCCTATTTTAGTAGACACCTTGGGAGTATTTATTGATGGGAAACTCGAATTTAAGGTCAGATTTTCCAAGTTCCATTAACTCAGCCGACAGTCGTGGTCTGAAAGGGTATCTCGGCTTCTATTCGGTTGATTTTGGAGTACTTTTTGACGAGAAATTCAATTCTCAAAATTCAAGATGGTGGCCGTCAGTATCTTGATCCCTTTTTGGTCAACTTATGTGAAACTTGGTACTAAGTGGTATTTTTCTACAAGAAACTAATTTTTTGTCAGTTTTGCGGTATTTCAAAAATTGAAGAGGGCGGCCCTTGCCTCAAATACTATCTCGGCTTCTCTTTCTCTCTCTCGGCTGATCCACTTTTGAAAGTCAGTATGAAGGGGTATTTTTTGACGGAAAACTTGAATTTTTTGTTAAATTTTAAAAATTCCAAACTTGCGCCAATTTGCCGCGGTTCGCAGAGCAAGTCGCGTAGCAAGCGCGAAGCGATAGCTCCGAGATCCAAGGGTCCAAGGGGTGGGAGCCGTTTTGCTGGCTGTGACGGCTGGCTACAGCGAGCCCGGAACAGCTAGTACATTCCTAGAAACTACATGCTCAAAGAGAACTATACAAAAGCTGCTCAATTTTGTCTTGAGTAAAAAAATGTTTATTGAAGTTTTCAGCAAAGGTGTAAGTTCATCTCAATTATTTTAATCAATTGTAAGAAACTCTTCTTTATATAATCATCTATCTAAGATCTATCAAGATTCCACAAGCAGTAGTTTGTGCTCTAAAGACTAGCAAGCATACCTTTCCTGCTTTTGATGTCTCAATTGTAATTACAGAGAATCTTTAAACCCTGACTTATTAATTTTTGTTCATTTTTTACTTTGTAACAATACCCGTATTTTTCCTGCGTACACAGGTCCTTTGATTTTGAGATTATGCTCAAGTCTGGTATGGTTCATACATTTAGTAGCATCGATAAAGGAGAATATCAAAAGCTGTTCAATTTTGTCTCGAGTAAAAAATTAGTCATCAAAGATACCAGCAAAGGCGTAAGTTAATCTCAATAATTATTTCAATTTTTTACTGTCTTCATGTTGGGTATAAATGTCTTGCCACTCTAGGCAGCCATTTGTGTGATGCTGCGTGTGTGTTGAGATTGTGCTTTGGAGGGTGTGTAACAATGGTTGGTTGGTTGGTAGGTATGTTTATTTGGTGCTTATGTATTGGGGTATGTATGTATGGTTGGTCGGTAGATACATTTATTTGGTGCTTTTAACAATTGAGCCATTAACACCTTAGAGGAGAGATCAAAATATAGTACAGAATTTAAAAATTTAAAAAGTAGGGGTCACAAAAGGTAGTACAAAATTAAAAGTTAGGACAAGGTATGTATGGTTGGTTGGTAGATATGTATGTATGTATGTATGTATGGAGAAAGAGACTTTAGATTAAAGTATCACTTAATGAATCAATTTTGTCTCTATCATCTGCTAGTATAGGATGCGGGCAGTTTCGGATCTTGTATTCGTTTGAAAGCATGATCTGCCCAATGCTCCAGCTTCTCACGATCATCATTGGTAGTGTTATATTCTCATGCTGTGTTGTAGCAGTTCAAGTCACCTAAAACTGTGTTTATATTTTGGGAGCGGAAATTATCCAGTTTGTGGAATTTGAATGGGAAGTTAGGTGGTTTGTACACTGATGTGATGGTAAATGATTGGAGCTCCATCGTTAATATCTTTGTATCTTTGACTTAGGCCATGGCACAGGAATGTACACTGATGTCGGGTCTAACAAATATAGCCTTTCTGTACTGCTCACATGGCCTCTCTATGACTAGATTAATACCCTGGATCTATGGTCTGCAACTATTTGGTCCTCTGTGGGTTTCTTGTGTAACTTAATTATCACATTCATTGCGATATCACATATCATACCGTAGAATTTGTGAATTTACCTACTTATAGGCCCTCAATATTAGAAGAATTTGTCACAAGAGATGGCCTTGTAAAAGCCCATTTTGAAGCCTCTATGAAGCACTAATATGCATCTTTGGTCTTGGTGGTTCAGTGTCAGCAGGATTGGCCGACTAAGTTGTTGCCAATAGGATGCCCGATGGCCATGGGTTCCTCTGGTAGTTTAAAGCTGAGTGTGCTCTGATGGTTGAACATTAGCCTGTGTCACACTATCAAAATACTCCATCAAAATGTTAAGGTCAAGGACTGTGATTGGTCCAAGTCATCGAACAAGCCGATTACAACCCCTGACCTTGATATTTTGATGGAGTATTTCGATAGTTTGACAAAGGCTATTGTAAACGGAATCAGCTTAACTGCATTTCACATTGCCTAATTTTCTCTTGACTTTTATTTCTCTACATAAAACAAAACTACTTGACGCCTTTGAACGTTCAATAAATTTACCCCAGACTGTGAAGAACATATGCACCAAATTTTAAGTTTTAGCGTTGTTTAGTTTTCCGTTTGAAAAATGAAACATCAAAGAAAATTGGCCAACATCTGAGGTAGTTTAACTTGACTGGTTGAATCCGTCCTTATCGAGTGCAGATGGTATGAGATCACGTGATTATATTCCAATCATGAATATATGGGATGTAATATCCTGCGGAGAGGTGGGACAAATGAGATCAAGCGCTTCCAGCACAAGGTATCGATATGTGCAACTGATTTTATTATTAATTTTTCTTTTTGTTGCAGAAAAACGTCACCTACACAGAAGACCCAGGCAGTGATGATGCTGATGAGCCAGATGCATATCTTGCTAGAGTGAAGCGTGAAGGCAAAGAGAGAGAGGAAGATGATGATGATGAAGATGAAAGTGATGATGAAGACTTCAACCCTGGTGAAGAAGGAAGTGATGTTGCTGAAGAGTAAGTGCTTTAAAGTCCCTGTTGCTAGATTTTAATCAAGAAAGAAAAACTTTAGAATTTGATGAATCTTGTTCCTGTCTGGAGAAAGGGTACCTTTTCTCTGTAACATAACTAGTCCTCTTAAGTTTACAAGGAAACCTTTCAAAGATTCAGCACAAGCCGGTCAGTCACGTTCTGGTAAGCAACTCAGGCACTCAATACATTGTATCGAGAAGAGGGTCGAAACGATTGCAAAGGCTGTATACTATGCATACACGCCAACAAGTAGGAAGCAGATTATTTGAAAAAATCATGCATCTACGAAATCAAATGTGATACATGTGATAAAAGTTACATAGGAAAGACAACAAGGTCTCTCAAAGTTAGATTTAAAGAACCCACAAACAACATAAAATACAGAAAAATAGAAACATCAGCAGTGGCACATCATTATTGGCTAGAGAAGCATGGAACAGCAAATCAACCTATTTTTAAAAAATAAATAAATAACCCAAGGGAACTAGATGCCAGGAAAAAGCTTTACATACACAGGATAAAAAATTTCAATACAGCTTTGGTGGGTACTAATAGCAAGTTCTTCAAATACATTGAAATATGGCAACAGTCGAATACCAAAGCAAGGATTGGAAAAGAAAAGAAAAACAACTTTAGTTCGCTGCTGACTCAGGATGGAGCTTCTAGCTCTGAAATACGTCTTGTATAAATCACTGCAAGTGAGCAACGGAAATTTTTTTTAATTTTTCATCACAACTTTATCGCAATATATGAAAGAAACCTGGGTCATATTTCCAAAATCTAAATCAAGGGGGCTCATCTGAGGACTTTCCCCTGCCAGTAGCTGAGTAAAGGATGGAAATCGGCCCAGTGGGTTGGTAGAGCAAACAATGAAAAAAAATTAAAATTTAGTTAGTCAGAGAGCTTATAATTAATATTTTAACACTTTGGCTGCAACACTGTCCTGTGAGGATCGACATAAGAGAATAAATCGTGACAAAATTGGCAAGTAGCGAAACTATGCTCTATCTATTGTGCGGAGTATGACTGAGCCAAGCTATACCTCCAATATATCATCAAAGCCTCTAGAAGCGTATCAGCCCAGAGAGGATTGCAGGTGATTGTCATCAAGAAACAAGCACTGAAGAGGTCTACAAATTAAAAGTTTTAATTGAGATCAAAAACATTTTAATCAGCCATAAAGCACATAATAAATAATAACTTATACCTGGGAAAGGCTACTGTAAAATGCAAAAGATGACACACAAAACAACAGGGACTTTCAAAATTATTACAATTTCATTTTTTGTAACCAGTCTTGGTTTCACAATAACAGAGAAACAGTGGCTCAATTTTTTTGCTTTTCTCCGGTTGAGCATGAAATTTGAATTATTTTGGAATGTCCTGAGTTTTATGTGAGTCATCTTTTGCCCTTAACAGCAGTTTATTTTACTTTTAAGTGACGTAGTAGTGGCCCAGAGTGTCATATGCAAAAGGGCTGGCTGTTAGCACTATTTTCTAAAGATGAGCAAAGGCTAGTCTTTCCGCTATTTTATAGCTCTGCTTTATGTATTTTTAGGTTCGACAGTAATCCAAGCACAACCTCCGAATCAGGAGATGAGGACTCAGACAGCAAATCTAAGAAGAAGAAGAAGAAAGAGAAGAAGCCGAAGAAAAAAAAGGGCTCTGATGATGATGATGATGGTGATGATGATGATGAAGATGACAATGAGGGTGATGAATCTGATGAGGGAAAAAGCGTTAAGAAGAAGAAGCCAAAAGAACCGAAGAAAAAGAAACCAGCTGTAAGTTTTTTTCACAAGTTTTTGCTTGGTTATGCTTTTGTATGTTCTTCAAAAATGATGAAATGTATATACTGTATTTTGATACATATGTATTGAAAATCCTCTATTTTTCAAACTCAAATTTTCATTGGACTAATTAGTTAAAAAAAAAAAAAATTGTTAGAGATTTGTTATGAGTCAAACCTCCATTAATTTTTTAATTGTAATTTTGAGTTAAAAAATTGATCGCTCTGTCAACTGGAAAATTCTGTCTTTTAAAAGTATACTGAAATTAGTTTCGTGATTTGTTTAACTGGAGTAGACTAAGGCTTTTAATGAGCGGGAGGTGTGAATTGACGTACACAAAAAATTCCATTTTTTACTGATGAGTCGAGTTTGGAACAAGATTGCCCCTGTCAGGGAAAATTACAAAAGTGTCAGGGAAAAAATCTTTAAGTCACCTTTATTTGCTTTCTAGAATGGATTTGACATTTCTAACAACAAAGTTGAGGTGAAATTTATTTTAATTTATGTCTTTTTAACCATCTGTCTTCAATTCTCAGGAAATTTTACCAAAATGTGACGCGGAAATGTCAGGGAATCTCATTTTATAAAGTCTGTGGCAAACCTGTTGGAAAGTTTCAATGCATCCTGTATATTCTTCATAAAATTATGGCAAGGCTCCATGTGTTGTGGTGCTCAAAGTGGTCCATTCTTCAGTAAGGCCTCTTGTCTAAACTTAATTTCCTCTTCCCTAATACCCTCCTTGGCAGACAGGTGGTATCATTTCTTAGCAGTCAATGATTTGATTTTTCTGGATCAAATTGTGAGAGTCTCTAATTTTCTCAATCTGTTTTCTAGAAGGAGAAAGCGCCGCCCAAGGAAAAGAAAAAATCAACCGGAAGAAAGTCTGATGCAGTTTCACCCTCCAAAATTAAAAGCAAAGAATTCATCGAAGAAGAAAACACATCATCTGACAGTGATTGAGAGGTGAGCAACTAAAATCTGATCTTCTATGAGAAGATTAGTTAGTTCTAGTTTTATTAGTATAATTGAAAACCTTTAAATTGAGGTACTGGGTATGAAAAGTGCAGTGCTCAGTTGTCTTGTTTCAGAATTTCTTCAAATATTTCACTCATTTGAAGGGAAGTGCGTGCATGCTTACATCATTGAAAATTTTACTGAAAATCCTTTATGACTCTGCAATAGCTCATGAAAAAAATTATAGAAAAATCACTATTACATTCGTCCTTATTAGCATCAGAGACTCTTAAACACCGCAACCTAGAAGTACTATTCCGGCAACCTGTGCCGCAATTTAAACCTTTTATGATTAAAGAGGTTCAGTCCAAAGAGAATGCGTTTTGAATCGATTCATGTGTAATTACACTGAGGGCATTTTTTTCATTATTGATTTTTTATTTATTTATATATGTAATTTTTTTTTCTCCAAAGGTAGGTAACTCTGATTAAAAGCTCTTTCCTAAATCATAGGAGACTCAGTTTTTTTTTTTTTTTTTTTTTTTTTTTTTTTTTTTTTTTTTTTAAGTTGCATACCTCTTTCTCTTCTTACAGTAGTCTAATTTGAACACCATGGAGTAAGATGATACTATTTACATTGGAAGTACATGTCGAAAATTACCAGAGAGAATTTGCCACGAGGCTTGCCACAGTCAGGGAATACCAGGCAGGGTTTGACGATTTGAACATCAAAGTTTGCCCGAAAACTATCTCAAATTATGTCTCTTTAACAATCTTGCACATCTTCAATTGATAGGAAAATTTACCAAAATGTGGCAGGGAAGTCAGAAAAATGTCAGGGAAATTCATTTTCAAAATTCTGTGGCAACCTTGTGGATAAAACCCTAATACTGAGCTTGAGCTGGCAGTGTAATGAATGAAATGTTGATAAAATCAAATAATTGGTTTAATAATTTTGTTCTTTTTCAGGATGGAAAAATACACATTAAGTGAGAAAATACCCTCATCTGCATTTATCTTGTCATCGTCACCTTGTAAATTAAGTTATTAAACTGTAATATTTAAATTTAAGTTTGCTGCATATCGCTCTTCAAATGTCACTATTTTTGAATGCTTGATTTCTTTACTGGAGAATATGCAGCAGTATCTCAACTCATGATCTTAAAATTAGCTTTCGTATGTTAGTATTATTTTGTATTTTTTGTACCTTCGACCAAAATTGGTCGTGTCTTATTTATTTTATTAAAGTTTCACAGCTCCAACTTTCTCATGAATTTTTTGTTTTTCTTACAGTTTAATTGAAATATTCCATTGAAAATTTCCTTCAAGCTCACAGATAAAATATCAATGACTAAGTACAAGAAGTGTGCATCTCAATTGGAACCGTTTTTATTTTTTTATTTATTTTTACCTAATTAAGAGGCTGCAAAAATCTCTGCCTATCACCCGTTGCAATTAATTATATTGTTCTGTTGGTATAATAATCTTCTTTATTGGCAAATCCAAACTACTGTGTATACACAACAATAGGACTAAGGCAGGACAAATAAGACCAAGTGAACTGTATCATAGTTTATTTACAATAACAATACGTTAATATGTGTAATGTGCCTGTTGCAAACTTTTGTTAGAGAAAAAATAAGAGTTGTTCCTCACAGATAATGTCTCAAAAATCATCGTCAAACTCTGAAATGCATTCCTAACTTCATTTATTGCGTAAGAAATTTGCATTTTTTTAAGATTCGCGCTTCAAAAAAGATACTATAGAACAGGTGAACATTTTGTTACAGGAGTCGTTCCCTTCAATCCCTGCTTAAAATGGCCGACGCTTTAGCGCGCAAGTTGATGAGAGCACAAGGTCAATCAAGGCGGATATCTATCATTGCGAGAAAAATGTGAATGTAAACACGCCAATTGTTATCAGGTGGTTAGAATCATCGTCCCGTCACTTGTGTTTTGGCGGATTGGCGTCGGCTATGTTGAATAGTGCGTGGTATCCTTGTGAGCAGGGGTTGGATGGAATGACTCCTCTAACGAAATGTTCACCTGTGCCATAGTATCATTTTTAAAGCGGGAAGCTCGAAAAATCGCAAATTGTGATGTAAGGAGTGCATTTCAGACTTCGCTCATCATGATTTTTGAGACACTTTCTATGAGTAACAACTCTTATTTTTGCTCTGGCATAAGTTTGCAACAGGCCCATTCTAATTACATGAAATAGTAGATAAGTACTTGTTTTAAACAAAGACGTAGACCTTTTCAAGTCGTAATGCAACTGGATTTAAGTTGTGTATTTACATATGAATAACAGGATGGTAGAATAGTGTTGGGACATACCCATTCTGTGGGTAAATTTAAACCAAAAATTCTCATTAAACTCAAATGAATCTTTTTGGTTTTGACCAGAATAGTGTAGACCCATCACTATTCTACCATCCTCTTACTTACAATTCTGTCCAAATCTGCAGTTTTTTTCTTAGCTTTACATATAAATTCAGGCAAACCAAAGAAATTGAAACAGTCCAAAATCTTGGATAATGTTGTATTGTCCTTATGAAACTCTAATCAAAATGTTTCCCCAAATGTTATTGACTTTTTTTAATGAGTCAAGAAAAATCACCAATGATTTCAATATGAAATGTTGGCTAGTTTTCCTTAAAAAAAGAAATTACTACAGCGTTGCAGTCCAATGTACGCATTTCTCTAATTTAGCCATCAATGTATTTATAAGTATTGTTACAAAAAAATTTTAAGCTTAAGAAAGTTTCAAATATGAATGTAACATGAATCACCCGACTTCAGACAGTGAGAACTGAAGAATATGTATGCTTTATCTCACTCTGTATACATTTCAAAATTAAAACATAAGGGTTTTTATCTCACAACGGGTCAATTGCATTTAGACAGCTGAGGCACATTAATTTTTCCATCATACACTTAACATTCAAACTATTCTGAGCGCTTTCTAAACCCCCATTTAAACATTTAAACATCCTAGTAAAGACTTTGCTATGTCTGAACAGATTTGCCTTAAGAGAATTGAGTGAAATAAAAAGGACAAAAAGAGAGAAAGGTGAAAGGTTTGAGGTTTGAGTGAAAGGTTTCCAGGCATATTATTTACTCGTTTGTGAGCATGTGACTAACTTCGAACCTAGGCAAACTAGATAATGAAAGAAAGAGTACTTATTTATTTGTTGGTACCTGGATAAATATCTCAGGTTTTGTCATTTTTCCAAAATTACCACTATCAAGCCGGGCTCCTCATCTTTCAACATCAATATCTTGCTTTGCTTCAGATACTTACACCTGCTTATGCTGATCAATTACCCCAGGTAGCTGGCAGAGCCTGTTCCAGATAACTTTTCGTCTTTTATGTTAGGAGCGGTATAGGAAATTCTCCACCTATTCTGCGCATACAGCAAAAAAGGACAATTTATCTGAAATGGGTGGTGATTTGATAAAGTGGTTAAGTGGATGAGTTACAAGAATTTAACTGCCTCCCCTGGTTGTGCAGGAGGCTGGTTACATGATAGTAATTGACTAGTTCTTTCTCTCTGGCTCAATACTTCTTGGACAGACCGTATTGGGGGTATTATTTCCAGCCAAAGGTACTTATTGGAAAGTTTTAAGATTCCAGTCCAGTTCTACAGTCGGTCCAGCTGGTTTCCAGATCCAATCAGAATATTTTAGCTCAGAATTTAGAATGAAGCAAAAAATAGACGTAACTAGTTTATTTTGCTGGGAGCGGCCTGACCTCCTCACCACCTCTGCTAAGGGGTGTTGATTCCTCTCAGCACAAAGGAGGGAATGGTCATCTTTCGCAGGAACACTTTTAACATTTTTTGACTTCGATTTGAATGCATTATGCTTTCATAACACGAATTTTCAATTCGTTTCTGCACAAAAATTACGCTGCTCTATGTATTTTCAGCTCTAAATACTTTCGAATTGAGGCGATGGGTGCAGAAAGGGAAGTTCTTGATTGCGGTGTTTCAGAATCTACATTTCTAATTTATATTTTAGAGAGGAAACAATTGGTGAGTTTTCTGAAATTTTTTGTTTTTAATATTGCAAGATCTGAAAGAAAAGTTAGTCCAAGTTTCAAAGAATTTCATACATTTGCTTCTACAATAATTGGTGAAACGTAAGCAAAGATTCTGAGCCACTGCATCAAGGAAACGCCTTTTTTGCACGAAATTGATTCAATCTCTCCCGGAGCCACTCCAGCTACAGCAGCTACATTTCGTCACCTTCCCGGCAAAGTATCACAAGCGCCACTTTGCCAACTTTTCAAGAGACACAAAAAACTGAATTGCGACCGTAAAAGACGGATGTTTGGCTTGAAACTTGAAATATAGATCCAGCACACCTCCCTGCTTCGAATTTTAATAAAATTTCTTTAAAAAAACGGGTTTTTCTTTGAAAATTGGCGCTTGTGATATCGGCTTCTCGGGGCACTCTGAGAATCTATTGGCGCTTGTGATACGAAAGCCCATCAAATTTAACGGAGTTTTTTCCATATTTCTTCATTTTTAATCTAAAAAAAATATTATTTTCGTATGTAAATGCATCTTATTAATTCAAAACTACCCATAACTCAACTTTAATAAAAATAGCGCTTGTGATACTTCGGCCGAAAAGTGACGAATCGCTCCAAGTCATTCCAAAAGTTGTTGATACTAATATCGAAAATCAATCTCAAAGATGAGCGATTATTCCCAACTTGGCGCTTGTGATACTTTTCTCTTACATGGCGCTTGTGATACGAAAGTACATCAACTTTAATCGACTTTTATTCATATTTCTACATATTTGTTGTAAAAAAAATGATTATTTTCGTATGTAAATGCATCTCGTTATTTCGGAACTATTCATAACTCAATTTCGGTAAAAATGGCGCTTGTGATACTTTGCCGGGAAGGTGACGATTTGTTGAGCTACATCCATGGGTGATGAAAGCAAAGTAGTGGCAGTCGACACTGTGACGTCAAGTGGGTACAATACGGCATGAGATCGTAACATCCGTTGTCTCTGTCTTAGCGTGCGACGAAAAAAGTAATTTTGACCATCATTTCAAGTGGTAATCTTCCCTCCAAATCAACCCTAAATCAGCCAATCAATTTCTTTAAAATCCGAAACATAAATTACTATCTTTGACCTCCGCCATTGACTTCCTCTCCCCAAGATGACGGAAATGCCGCCCCCCCCCCTCCTCGCCCATTATCTAGTCTGGTTGAGGTTGAGGTTATGAACTTGGAACTACGTGCATGTTGTTGTCTGTTGTGGTTGTGGATCTCTGTCTCAGGCCTTGAATACTTACGATTTATAAGATATAATTTATTAATTTTATCTACCATTTGAACCTTTGAACGTCTTTTTCGGATATTGTGACATGGAGAAGGCTCGTAGTATTTATGTCGTGTAATTTCGTGTCATAAAATGTCATAGTTATAGCGTTCCAATACGATTTTAGTAGTTACTCTGATCCTATTCTTAATCCTCTCAAAATCCTAGTAGCCCTGTCGAATTAAAAAAATGAGGCTCTATCACTTTTTGAGTGATGTCAAACAAGTGGGAAAACTCACCAAAAAGATATCAAACCTGCCAGATTCGTATATCCAACGAGCCATGGAACAGGTTGGTATGGGGACTCAAGTTAGACGTCGACTTCTCTTCTATTACCCCACTATATTAGTTTTTATAGTTTTGACGGTTTAAGTACAGTCAGTCAATCATTGATTTCGTCTAATGTAGGTAGTGGACTGAAGCTTCTCCCAAGATCTATCCATTTAGGTCAGTCATAGCGCAGATATCCCCACTCTGGGTCACCCGTATCCATTGGATTGTGACGTCTGTACAGATCACTGCTGTATAAACCAAAAATGTTGGAAACAATACTTTTCTTATGAAAGAGGACTAATTTGTATTAATGTATTATTTAAATTCCTCACTTTTAAATCCTTTGAATCTTTCTGAGTGTCGAAAGGAATGCTTAGGCATCAGCACTCAGGGTTTTGATTTTGCCGAATTTGTGTTATTTCATTTTTACAGTTGACTCTACATCAGCCATTTTTACACGCTAAATCTATATCACCAAATGGCTCTTACAGTGCTGACTTTAAAAATATAAACGATGTATAAATTGAGCCAAATCAAAACCCTCAAAGCTATTGTCTGAACGTTGTTTTAGACTCTCTAAAAGCTTCAAACGGTTTAAAAGTGAGAAATTTAAGTGATTCATCAATCGAAATTTAACCTTCTCCCATTAGAAAAGCGTATGGATTCCCAGCTTCCTGGCTTTCACGCCAGTAATACTGACGTCATGCGCCGAAGATTCTCATTTTGGCTCTGGGAATGACTGACCTATACGGATAGATCTTGGGTTTTCCCTCTCTCAAAATCTTTAAAGCTGCTAGCTAAAAGTCTAGATCAGAGGATATGGCCCTCTAAAGCCTTCTGCCCGCTGCTGACTCATCTGAGCTGAATCTGTTGTTCTGTTTCTCACTAATGACTCAGGTGGCCTGACACTGGAGGTCACCATAACACAGTATAGAGAGATTAATTCTGCAACATCTGGTAGCAAACAATAACTAGGAATTCTTTGAACTGACTGAAAGTGTATTCGCTTTTTTAACTAAACACGGGAAAGCTAAAATAACTAATGGTAAAATTGTCCAAAAAGATTCCATAACCTGATTGTCCAAACTATATCGCTTGACTGAAGATTCAAATGTTAAGCAGAACATTATATACAATGTTCAATTGTTGGTAAATAATGTCCTACTTAACATTAGAATCTTTTTTACCATTTTACCATTAGTTATTTTAGTTTTTTTAGCCGATTCAAAGTGTGATAACAAGAAATCGCGACAGGGAGGAAAAAAAACAGAGGAAAGTAGAAAAATACTAAATTACAATTACAACAATCAAGCTGCCGATGAGGGGCTTACTATCTTGTCACCAGTCATTATATAGACATATCTGTTCAATAAAATTGGTTTACAACAAAAAAATGTTTTCAATGATCGACCTGCGAGTCATATTGTGAAATAAGAAAGTATTCTTTTCAAACTTATATCTATTTTTTGTTTCAGGTTGAGTGGAAAACCCCTAGAGGTTATCCATGGTATCAGAAAAGAACTGTAGGAAGAAAAAAATACTTCTTTGATGCTGATAGGCCATGGTCTATTGATTTCAAGATTCGCAATGAAATAGGGAAACATAATAAGCCTTATGTGCTGGAGCCAGTGAAAGATTGGAGTTTCTTCATCGGAGACAGGGTTAGTCCTCAATTCTCCTTCTTTGCATCCTCTTCATCTTCATTTATAAAACTTTCTTATGAGAAGTTGTCATCCAGTTTACAATTTCAACTTGTTCATTGCAACTTGGTGGGAGAGTTTTTCGAATAAAAATAATTGTATCAAATGCTTAAATTTCAATTCTCATCACTTCTAAAAGCTGTAATGGGTACCCATTCTCATTTACTCTTTCAACTTATGCAGAGGAGCAGTCTGACTTTTTTTTCGACATCTCCGGTAGTCAAAATAATAGTCTTAGATCTGCATATCAGCATTATGTAGGTACCACATTCACTACTCATTAGGAAGAGGAAAATCTGGAAACACGGCTAAAAATACATAGTAAAACCTGAGACGTTTTGACTCAGAGCTGAGCCATTTTCAGTCAAACAAATAAGTACATAATACAAAAAGTTTCTAAAAAAAAACCTGCACCTAGCCGAAACGTCTAGGGTTTTATTATATATTTTTAGCCTTGTTTCCTGTTTTTTCCCCTTTGTTTTTTTTCATGTTACCATTGTAATGGGCTGCTGCTATGTAAAAATGTGTATTTGCGTACTAAGTTGATGGCCAAATTACAAAACCACATATCTCTACAGCGGTGTTTCAATAGTTCCTCTCCTGTTTTATTTCGTGGATGAGAAACAAGTTAACTACAAAGCTTGAAATTTATACTTAATAATATTCTACCATAAAAGAAGAAAAATCAAGGAAGTTTCCAAGAAATTGGGTTGACTAGTTTTGCAAAGGAAAAATAAGTAAAGTATGACAGAAAGTCCAAGTCGCAAATGGAGATAAGTAGTGTTGCACTTTGGCTATCGGTGTAGCTTATAAAGTAATAAACACTTCTATCTATTTATGGATTTAATGCCAGTTTTATAAGTGTAAAATAATACATGTGCCCAAAAATTGGATGAAGTTTGTATTTCATACAATGTATCGCAAGTTAAGTTCCGGTGTTTTCTTCATGGGTTTTCTACTACTTTTCCTACAGTAAAAAGATATTGTAAAGGTTTTTAGAACTTCCACTGCAATTGCACCCCTTGTCTAAGCAGCCAATAATGGTCCCAGAGGAACTTTAATGGTATTAATCCTTCAATGGTTAAAACTGTTAAGTCAATCTGAATGCCGTGGATCCACTCACTGTTTTCCATGTGAATGCACAACATGCCTTTTATCCACGAAAATTTTTGAAATTGGGGACAAATGACTGCAAATTCTAAAAACAACATCTGTGGATAAATGTCTTTTCAAGAACATACATAACTGTTTTGCGGATTGATAAACGGTGTACAAATAAAATGTTCCCTTCATGCTCTACCTTATGAGGATAAACCAGGATCAATCATACAGGGCTAAAGCCTTTAAGAAAGCACAATAAAGAGAATAAGAGAATATTATACTTAATATCTTCCTTCTTCATACCTATTTAATTTGTCTTTTAAAGCTTAAAAAAATTGGGCTCCGCATAAGGTATTTTAAGCAGGAGTGTCATTTTGGTTTTTAGTGAGCTACAGGGATGGTTCCGTTTAACAAGTTATAATAAGAAGACCCCAACCAATAGCTATTTTGTGTATGTATAAGTCGCTTTTACGGCGCGTTAGGCCGTTCTTCGCCGCATACCAGTCATAGGAATCTGTCATGGTAGAGATCCTCCGGAAGCTGGCATCTCTCCATCTCTTCACGGATGCCCTCTACCCAACGTTTGTCTGGACGCCTTCTCTGTCGCCTACCTGGAGGGACCCACTCCAACACCTTCTTCGACAACCTGGTATCAGCCATCCTCTGCACAAGCCCATACCACACCAATTAATTGCTTGGTCATGATATCGTGCACAATTATCCCCTCAACGCCCATTATCTCTCGGACACGTTCATTTCTGATATGCATCAGGAATGATAGCTATTGTAGTTAGCAAAATAAAACTGAGCTGTTGCCGTGCATATTAGTTTTATGGGTCAAGCACCTCCACAAATAGACTTGGAGTGTAACAGTGCCTTGACTGAGAGCTTGCGCTCTTCCACAAGGGAGAAATATAGCTACTTATTCAGAGTCTATTAGTATTTTGGAGGAGCCAGCACTGATAACTCCTTGACAAGGATTCGTTTGAGCATCTCTAATTTTAAAAGGGTACCCATATAATAACTTTGAACAGCCATTTTACAGCCTAATTAATAGGTGTTCAATATTTTATTTATTACAGTAGAAATGTGAATAACTTTTTATACTTACATGTTATGACCTAGTCTGACATATAGTTTTTCTCTGATTAAATTTTTTACTTTCTTCAGGTGGAGGTTCTTGTTGGGAAAGATAAAGGAAAGCAAGGTTTTGTCGTCGAAATATTTGAGGAGCGCAATTGGGTCATTGTCGAAGGATTAAACTGCAAACTTAAAAAGCAGGAAGCCGCAGGTAAAACTTTTCACATACAAGAAGAGCAGCCACTACTGGTCACCCGCGAAATTTCGCATGTTGATCCTGTTGATTTGTGAGTATCCATAGACCAAACGTCCTTACTTCTGTATGTATTCTTAAGAGTCACTTATCAGATGCTTGGAGCAAAAGGGTTGTAATTAAAAGTTTTGGAAAACTTAAAGTTCTTTCATGCTCAAAAAACTCAGGATGTACTCTTTGTTTATTTATACAGGGTGTCCGGAAGTTAACGTATTTAACTTTCAGGATCGCTATTTCGGCTCAAAATAAGACTTTTTTTTCCTGTACACATATGCCCGAAAACGCTTCATACGTGAGCTATGCGCTTACAAAGTTGCCATTATTTTTCGTTCAAATTAATATAGCTCCTCGTCATTTTTTCATAGGTGGCTGAAACTTTGCATTGGGGGGTATTTTTTAGCGTTCTATTCATTTTTTGTGTTTTCAAGGACGTACGTCTTCGAAAAATGACGTCACAAGCTTTCCCGAATTTGAAAATTGCGATAACTTTTTTGGTAGATGATATTTCGAAAAACGGATTACGGCACGTGAAAGAGCGTAAAAAATCAAGGGGTCCAAGTACTGCAGAAAATTTTCCAGAAACGCGTTATTTCGACGCGAAAGAACTTTGAAAAATTTTAAGATTTTCGAAGCTCCTTGCTGTGTAGGCAATTTTTACTGCAAGGATTGAAAAATTGCCTTCAGAGCAAGGGGCTTCGAAAACCTCGAAGCTATTGAGACGGCTCTTGACCTTTCCCTCACACTTTTTCCAGGCTTGGGACTGGCCCGAGCATCATCTTACTAAAATCGCGGTTAGGCGGCGATATTTTTGGTATCAAATATCCACCGAAAAATCATACTTGGTGGCTTATCGAAAACATGGTTTCAAATGGAGCTTCGAAAATCTTAAAATTTTTCAAAGTTCTTTTGCGTCGAAATAACACGTTTCTGGAAAATTTTCTGCAGTACTTGGACCCCTTGATTTTTTACGCTCTTTTACGTGCCGTAATCCGTTTTTCGAAATATCATCTACCAAAAAAGTTATCGCAATTTTCAAATTCGGGAAAGCTTGTGACGTCATTTTTCGAAGACGTACGTCCTTGAAAACACAAAAAAAGAATAGAACGCTAAAAATTACCCCCCAATGCAAAGTTTCAGCCACCTATGAAAAAATGACGAGGAGCTATATTAATTTGAACGAAAAATAATGGCAACTTTGTAAGCGCATAGCTCACGTATGAAGCGTTTTCGGGCATATGTGTACAGGAAAAAAAAGTCTTATTTTGAGCCGAAATAGCGATCCTGAAAGTTAAATACGTTAACTTCCGGACACCCTGTATATTTATCTATTTATTTACTTACTATTTTTTATTTGTTAAATCGATTTGTACAAAAATCTCTTTGAAGTAAGGTTAAGATACACATGATTTTTTATTTTTTAATAAAAGAACAATAATGAGTTATTTACAAATGTAATAAGGTATGGTAAATAGGAATATTACCAAGTGTCGCTTATTGAAGAGGTTGATGGTTATTTTGATTCTAAAATTCATTCACATGTTAGTAAGCCTCCATGACAAGAAAGTCCTGAAGCATCCTAAGAACTTGTTTTAAGTTTCTTTTTTTTTGCAGCCCATTTTTGCATTGAAAAAAATGTCACAACTCCTGTAAAGTTCCAACTTTCTTTGTATTTTTATAGGAAACCCTGCAAGACCGAGTGGAGGTATACAGAGAGTGGAGAAAAAGTAAGAGTATCCATGCGAAGTGGTCGCATCATTCCTATGCCAAAGAAAGCGGAAGCAACTGTTGATTACAAAGCTCCAAGCTTGTATATAGGTGAGTTCAGTATTTTCTCCTCTTTCTTTAACATTCTCTGTATGACTCCAGAATGTTCATTGCACGTGATTTGAACACGCCAACGCTCCTTCAAACGCTCATTAATATCAAAAAAAAAAAAAAAAAAATTGAAAGAATCTTGCAACAATTTTGCAAATTGAACATTCTTTGAGAACAGAAGCTTTCCAAGCAGCCATGTCTATCGATTCTCTCTCTTTTCCTGCAAGTGCCCGTCAAGGGCTGAACACAGATCCCATTTTCTTCCTCTGCAAAGTTTCAACATTTTAGGTCTCATTTGATTTTTTCAAAGAGAATGCGGCCAATGTACTCGCTGGAAATCACAAATTGTTCCTCTAATTGAGGAGAACAATTGAAATTTTTTTTTTTTAAAAAAATCATGTTGATTTGTTTTACTATCAGATAATAAGTAAAGTAAAATGGAAAGTCAATGTCACAGATTGCCGGACATTGTTTCTGAGTTTGGTTTTTAATGTATGGTATTGAACGAATCTAACTGGAATCACCCTAACTACATCAAGTGTTGCCTAATTTTCTCCAATGTTTCATTTTTCAACAGAAAATTGAGCAACACTGAAACTTTAAATTGTATGTGCATATTCATCTTACTCCAGGGCAAGTTAACAGGAAGTTTAAAGGTGGCAATTAGTTTAGGTCTCTGTTGAGAAAATAAAACATGAGAGGACTTGAGGCAACATGAAATGCAGTAAGGCTGATTAGTAGCAATTCCAGCAAGTTGGCATCACTGTAAATACTGCATTCCATTTACATGCATTAAATATATCCAAAGGACAGGGGCTTAGAATTATAGGTGAGATAAGCTGCCTTACCTAGAACCGATTGTTTAACGTAAATTTAAATGGAGAAAAAACAGTGTTGCCAGCTTGCAAGAATCACCTCTCGGCTAATTTTGGTCAAAGAACCATCAAGTCGTCACATCTTTTGGACACACTGACCCAAAGAAACTGAACAAAGAGAAGGGGAAAAAGGGTATGGCTCCCTCATATTATGCCATTTTACACCCTTTCCAAATGCTAAGTTATCAAACATCAAAGATTGCTCGGTTCATTTCAACTCTATTTACCTATCATTTCGTAGCAGTCCCTCAGAAAGTCCCAGTCACTACTTTTAATAGCTCTATTTATATTCCTCTGGGTTTTTTTTCTTTCTTCTTTTTCCAACAGATGGAGAAAAAGATACACCTTCCGCTGAGATGGTAAAGATAACCTTTGAACCAGCGCTGAAAACATTTGAAATGGAGATAATGGAAGAAATGGGAATCCAAGAAGACCGCGTACCTGCTCCAAGTTACTGGTACTAAGCCAGTAATAAGTTGTTAGTGATGTTGTTTTAATATTATGTATGAAATTTTGTAAAACGTTTCTCATTAAATTCTGTCTTCATGAACATTTCTACTTTTTCATGTCTGTACCCAACATTTCAATTAGTCCATGCCTAATGTAGGTAAATTGAACTGTCTGATTAAACTGATTTAGTGGGTAGGTTATGGTTCAAATGTAAACGAACACATAACCTTGTCTCTGATTTGCTCCTTTAGCGTCATGGTGTAAAATAGGGTAAAATGGGACTATATGTTTCTTGCAATCGAAATTTCTCTTAATTTAATGAGTCCATAATTCATTTATGACCTGTCAATGACCGAATTGTAATGAATTATCGAACACATAATTAACTCATGTGGAATTTGTGCATGAGGCTATGTGTTTGTCTTGGTTCAAACCACTGCGTTCGATATTATATCAAATGACGCAATGACTAAATCAGTCTATTATAAGGTTTATAGAAAGAGTATGTTTCTTTGGAACTGGATTTGTTCCCTCTTCATCATCATAATCCTAGCATGTTAATTACCAGGCAAGTCATTATATTGTATGAAAACGTCTATGCTAATTTTCTAGTCTTGGTGATCAACATTTTATTAAAAAAGAAGATCATATATAAGATTAAAAAACGGTAGCACCATGTTGCTAGTCTGGTACCTCATTTTTGTTTAACTTTCAAGTAACAAGTGGCAAGTTTACAATGTAACATTAAACATTTTCTGGGCAAATTTTTTAGCTTTATTTGTTCAATATCTCAAAGCAACTGTGAAGGGATTGTCTGTGGGATTACTTTAAATTGTATCTGGAAAGTAAAGTTTCGAATCCGTTGTCAAACTTTTTTTTTTTTTTTAAAGAGTACAATACTAGATATCGTGCCATGAGGGCAGAAATATTGTAAGTACAAAGTTTTGTGTAGTATCAATGGTTATTAATTCTTGGGAAAAGTAAATTGAGGCACTGGATGCGAAAAGGGCACTTCTCGATTGTGCTGTTTCAGAATCTCTGTCGCTAATTAATCCCTTGTGGACTTTAATGGGTGATTTTTCCAGAATTCTCATCATAAAGAATTGCAGAATCATGAGGAATATTCAGTGAAATTTCCAGTGAAATGGATGCATTCACTTTCCTTTACAATGAATGAAATATTTAGAGGAGACTCTGAAACACTGCAACCGAGAAGTGCCCTTTTCGCATCTATAGTGCCTCAATTGTTAGTACCTGTCTCATATTACTTTTCCTTCATCACTGTATGCCCAGGACAAGGAATTGCCTATCCTGGGCTTTCGGCAAAAGAAGAAAAGTACTCTGAAACAGGCTTTACCAGAAATATCTATGATGTACGCAGAATCTAGATGGGTCCTACTAAAATGAGTACCTAGTAGGTATCTAGTGGTGGCTATGTAAATATTATAAGTTCTTGAGAGTACATAGAAAAGCAAATCTGTCCAAATTGTCCATGAGATTCATTTTGTTCCTTCAATGTGCCTTCACAGCCATTAATTTTCTGCAAAGGATATCAGACATGAATTGAGAGAGAGGAATGGAGGTTTTTTTTTTTTTTTTTGTCAAATCTGAATAATACGGGGACCCAAAAGATAACTTGATGGTACTGGCTCTGTTTGTCAGTTTTACAGTCTTCTCTTCTCCTTAATAACTCCAAATGCTAATCGTAGTTTTGTTGAGGCGTGGAATTTTCCATGTTGATTTTCTACTAAAGGAATTTTTTTGTTCCACGTGACTCTTACATTGGCTGCCTTCAGCATGAACGACATCCATGAAAGAAGGGGCGGTCTGGCTAGGGGTGCTGGGTGCTTCAGCTCTCCAAAAATTCTGACGGGGGGCTCAGGGGACTCTGGCAGGACTCCTCTGGGGCCCCCAAAACTTGAAAATCCCTTATAAAGAAGGACTTTTCGTTCGCTATGGGGGATCTAGGTATATTGGGGGATCTGTTATACATCCAGGTATATTGTCAGGATAAACTGAAGTTTCCAATGTTGTTATAAGGTTGATACATAAGGGTGATTGCAACACCATTGAGACGTCAAGAAGTATCAACATTACATCAATATACCTATCATACCTGGGTGAGTTCAAATAAGCGTCTAATTTGGTGTCCCGACCTGTTTTAATCGTCATAATCTGAGAAACATAGGCAGATCAAATTTTTTTCTCATTTTCCACACTATTGTTGACTATTACATGCTATTTCCCACTTTATTTGGACTGAAATAAAAAATTTAGGAGAACTTTGAATGTGCAAATTGCCTACATTTGTCCCAAATTTGCGTGTCCCCCGTGCCTGGTTCTTGACTTTAAATCGATGTTGCAGCATAACTAGAGTGATTATTTAAGAAAACTTTATCGGAGATGATAGGTAATGCTTTTGAATTTGAGAAAAAAAATATGTCAATTTATTTT